AAAAAAAAAAAAAAAAAAAGTCCAGACAATGCCACAGCCTCTCAGGAACAATTTAAGATTAAAAGGACAGAAGGGATTCAGTCATCAAAACACATCACTATATATGAATAAAAGTTTTGCTGGTTTGGTTATTTTTATTTTTAATTGACTGAAGATATTTGGTTTACACAGAACACTTAGCATGTTTTAGAGGTTAAAAATGCAATTTCTGGAGTCAGATTGCCAAATTTGACTCCTAACACCACCACTTTTTAGCCATGTGTTTTTGGACAAGTTACTTAAAGTGTTTCAGCTTGTGTTTCCTATTCTGGAACAGAGGGATAATAATAATATCTTACCAACAGGGTCATTTTGAAGGTTAATGAAGTGGTATGTACATATATTACCTAAATGATGCATTCATAGCATAGAGAAAATGCTCAACATACTTCAGCTATTGTTAATATTATTTCTGGAAACAATTACTGCTTTTATATTAACCTAGTTTTGATAACCAATTTACTATTCAAATTTAAATGATAGTTTATTTTTACTTTCACTGTTTCAGGAAACATTTTATAATGCTATAAATATATATATACACACACATAGTAATTTAAGAATTACTTGACAATTTTAATGTGTCTACTTTCTTTTTATATTGATGAAATTTTTAAAAATCTCGACAGATTCAGTAGCACAAAAGAACTAATATAGATATTTGTTTTAGGATGATTTAGAAGAAAAACAACTTAAATCCGTCAAGAAACTGGTGCAATGTTATCAGAATGGACTTGTATCCTTTATATTTGTATGTATGTTTGTTTCATTTATCCTGAAACAGAGAATTTTTATTAGAAAATGTATTAGATTCCTATTGCTGCTGTAACAAATTACCACAAATTTAGTGGCTTAAAACAACATAAATTTATCTTATAGTTCTGGAGGTCAGAAATCTAAAATCAGTCTCATTAGGCTAAAATCAAGATGTTGGCAGGGCTGGTTCCTTCTGAAGATTCTAGAGTAGAATCCACTTGCCAGCCTTTTGCAGCTTCTAGAGGTTTCCCGTATTCCTTGGTTCATGACCCTCTTCCTCCCAGTGGCACCAGTCTCACCTTTGCTTCTGTCATCACATCCCCTCCTCTCTCTGTCTACTACCTCTCTATGATTACTTTGGGCTCACCTGGATAACCTAGTATAATTTTCCCATTTCAAGATCCCCAATCACATCTGAGAAGTCCCTTTGCCATGTATGGTAGCATATTCATTCATAGGTTCTGGGGATTAGGACATGGACATCTTTGGGGAGACCATTATTCTGTCTACCACAGAAGATATCTAACATTTTGTGTTTTTTACAAAATTATATTTTCTATCAGAGAATATAAATAAAATTGAAGAACCAATATAACAATTAACTTTCTGTGGATAATATGAGTTTCTATAGGTTCAGAAAGACAGTGGATGTATTTAGGAGGGCCAAATCAAAGTCTTGTTTCTATCAATTTACGTAGGCAATTGTACCTTTGATAAACTTCTTAATTTTTCCACCATTATGAAAAAGGGATAATAGCACCTCATGAGATTGTTAGGAAGATCAGATGATAAATGTACATGCAAGGGCTTGAAAATATGTGAAAAATATAAATATATTATCCCCAATGACTATACCGCCCTGATCAGAATACATGGAAACAATGCATCTTTAAAAACTGTAAGAACCAGTTTGTTGTTGGGTTTTTTAAAAAATCTTTTGTGTATATATGCTATTGTAAAATACAATAAAAGTGTCACAGGAATATCAGATTATTATAAAAGTTTTTAAATATCCACTCTCACTTTCTGTACTTATCTCGTCACAGACTGATAACATACAATTCCATAACTGACGGTGGTCTATAGTCGGCACTTTGAGAAGTACTGATCTAAGTGATCTCTGACAGTTGTCTGACCTGATCTAAAGAAGATATCAGTCTCTAACATTAGCTTGTTCCAGTTCAAAACATATTAAGCCTCCCATTCAGGGAAATGTGCCTTATAATTTTTCCTAAATATATTTTTACTTTATTTTAGCCTTGTTTTTTTTATGGATTTGTTGAGTCAGTCTAAGGCCTTGCAGATGTCAGGTACTATTTACTGGTAGCCAGAAAAGTCTGGAAGCAAGTGATTTTTTATCTTAACTTGACACCTCAACACTTCCGTTATTTTTTTTTTTCTTCAGGTTAGACAGTTGGTAGCAAATGTCTCTATTTCCGAATGCCTTTAATAAGCTGGCTTTAAGTTTTAAAACTTAGCAAAGATAAGTTAAGGCAGTATTTTGGCCACTTCTCTAGGAAGTGAACAGAACTTTATACTTCTAGTATACCCAGCTCTCCCATCCCTTACTCAGATGCTCCTAGGAGAGGCTAGAAGTAATAGCATTCAACAGTGTAAATCACAACTACCATAATCTCTTAGCTGTAAAACAAAATCAGTGAAGTTTGTTTATGTACCAATAGCTAAGTAGGTAAAATAAGGTGCTTTTACCTTTTCTAGGGAGGCTACATTTTGTTTTCATACTAGTTTTAAATGAAATAAAATCCCAACCAATTTAAACCTTAAACATAAGAAAATGCTTCTGAGATAAATGTTAATAAAGGAATGAAGTAAAGAAAAGTAAGGTTTGGGTTACTATACTTATTCTGAGGCAGTTTTGTGTGTGTGTGGTAGGGGGAGATGTTTGTGTGTAGGGGGATGGAGATGAAGGATATAATTGAGCCTAATCACTAAGCTAATTTTTTTCAATGTATTATTTTTCATCACCAATAGGAAGTTATTGATCAACCGAATCTGTACTGTAGTCATTGGTAATTTAATTCTAAAGTTATGGTGAGAGGAAAAGAAATTTTGAATAAGAGGTTACTAAGACAAAAATTAAATAATTTTCCTAGAGAAATATGGTTCTAAGTTTTCCTCCTTAGACTTCAAAATAATAATAATTAAATCAGTGTCTACTACATTTAACAAAATTGATGGAATGCTGTAGCCTTCCTGACAGAATTGCTAAAAAGAATATGTTCATAAAGATATTAATCTTAATTTTATTTCTTAACTAAAAATATTAAAGCCCATAAGGGATTTAGCACAGATATTTAAAATTCTGAATCTGTGTGCAGGAAAAATTGAAAAACAGCCCCGTTTTGTAGAATCTGCATCTGATATCCTAAAATTGTGTGGGTAAGTTGTTTCCCTTGAACTTTGTTTTATATTAGCATACAGTAATTTATCATATTTTATTTTCTGTTACAAGGATGTTATGCATTATGGTATAGCAAAGTGATACAGAACTCAGAAAACTTCAGCTGATCACTTGATTCTAGCAGTTGGTACTTCAAAGGTAGTCGGTTTTATTGTGAGATTTAAAAAAATTAATCAGCTAACTTTGTGAGATTGCTGGCCAGAAGAAATTAAATTGTAAGTACACTAAAATATTTTCTTGTAATTAGTTGCTCTCAAGTGATTGATAAATATCAGATGAAACCAAGGAATTATAGTATTTTAAGAGAATCCTTGAGTAAATCTATGGATAATATTTACAGTTTCAGTCTAGTTTTTTTCTCTCTTTAGAAAATTTAGCTCTCAGAGATATATTAGATTGTGTGTTATGTTTTATTTGATCTTCCAAATTTAAATGAGGAATAAAATATCACCAGTTATGTTTGGTATCTATTTTTCAATGTAAATTAGAGGTCGGAATTATAAAATTAATATGCCTCATACTCTCCTGTTTCTCCAGCCAGTTTTGGGAATTACAAATATGTGGTGCTTCCTTACCGCCACATAGTGGCTAATCTGGGTATATATTAAAATATCCATTTTTAGTTGCTCAATATAACGTATGTAGTAGAGGAAACTTCAAGTAAGAATAAACCCTTCTGACAATTTTACCTTCTAAACCTCTCTACCAGTTTAACTTTTTAAATAGCATCGTGTTTTTTTTGTTTGTTTGTTTTTTTCCTTTTTTTGTCTTTTTTACTGACCGGTAACGGGATCGCAACCCTCGGTGTCGCGCCCGTACCGGGGACCGGCAACGGGATCGCAACCCTCGGTGTCGCGCCCGTACCGGGGACCGGCAACGGGATCACAACCCTCGGTGTTGCGCCCGCACCACGCTCAGCCAGTGAGCGGGAACCAGCCTCCACATGGGATCTGAACCCTTGGCGGGAGCGCTGCCGCACTCCCAAGCGTTAAATATACAAATAATATGCAAATAGTAGAAAGGTTTAGTAGGACTATGTATACATGGTAGGCTCTAACTCTAAGTTTTAGATTTAGCAGCAATAGTAGTTTAAATTTTGTACCCACTTACGTTTAATTTTTTTTGATATGTGAATAAACTAATAAAAAATAATTTATTAAATGCCTGCACCATGCCTTATTTTTTAATAGGGACCATGGAAAATAAAGGAATAAGTAATTGCTCTGGTGCTTTCAAGTAACTAATTGAAAATTATTATTGTATTGACATGAGATCTAATCTAATCTAATCTAATATATATAAAACACTTTCAAATTTCAAGGCTATGCAAGTCCTAGAACACTGACTTGAGAAGGATTACTTTTGACATCGGTGTTCCTGTAGGGCTCTATCCAGAGTTGATTCTCTATGAAACCTTGTGACTGAATGTTTCATTGTATAATATGACAAATCTTTTGAACTGTACTCTTCGCTTTCCCTCATATTCCATAATTATTCACATTATTAATTTTTCTACTTTCCTAATTTCTGCTATATCCTACATTTCTCCACACCTCACCCTCACTTGATTCTCTTTTTAAGACATTTTTGGGAGATAAAAACATTGTAAATAAAAAAAATAAAGTCAAGCCTTTCTGTTTTGACTTCTAGATAGCATGATTTTGTCATTGCATCCAGAAGTATAATGTCTTTTTTTAAAAAAATAAACTTTAGGGCCGGCCCGGTGGTGCACTGGATAGTGCGCCCGCTTGGGAAGCGCGGCAGCGCTCCCGTCCGAGGGTTCGGATCCCACGTACAGACCGGCTCCCGCTCACTGGCTGAGCGAGGCGCGGGAGCAATGCCGAGGCTTGCGATCCCGTCGCCGGTCCCCGGTCCGGTACGGGGGCAACACTGAGGGTTGCGATCCGTTGCCGGACACGGAAAAAAGACAAAAAAAAATAAATAAATAAACTTTATGGTTGAAAGCTCCTCTGATACTTTATCTTATATGTTGTCTCCTTTAGTAGAAAAGGAAAAAGTTTGGAGGAAAGAAGTATTAATTTTAGAGTTCTTCACTTTAGAGATCCAACAGTCATCTGGACAACAAGTAATAAGTTATTTGTTTCAAATGACAGATTCTAACAAACACTAGAAATGAACCTCTGTGTCATTTATAAAATTATTGTTTTCATAGCTTGTCCTTGAAATATCTTTAAATTCAAATTGTCCTGTATTTTCTACATCCACGTGGATAGTTCTCACTGCCATTTTTCAACCACTTGGTTAATTTTTCTTGGAAGACATGAATTAAAAGTCCCATACATAGGATAATATTATACTTTAAATAGCATAGGAAATTTAAATTTTGAATTCATGAAATGCCAAAATAGTTTATATTTTGTATTTAAAAATAATTTTTATCTCTGCTTTGAAATTTAGACTAATGACCCAGGTTCATGTGCCTGATATTTTATGATTTGTAAATGTTATTTTCAAACAACTTTGGTTATAGTGGCTGTGTTCTAATATGATTTTCGTTACTTGAATTCCTTAGTGTCGACAAAGGCATTCTGTTATTTTGTGGACAGTAACTAATCCAGTTAATAAAGAAAAGGGCACTGACCTTTACTGATCTACTAACTAGAGTTTTGAAAACTTCAGAAAAAGCCCTTGATCTGTGGTTTGTACCATATTATCTGTCTTCCTAACTTTGATAGAATTACTGCTATAATTCATTATTATTTTGCCCTGAAAGAGAAATGGGATTCCTAGGTTCTTTTATTAATGCAGTGATGCAAATGGCTTTTTAAATCCATGCCTTGTACATCCATCTCTCTTCATTTTTATAAAAATGTTTTATTTTCTTTCTGGTCAGTTAGTTAGAAACATAATTTTTCTTTACAGTTGTCAATTTCCCAGGGCTAAAGAATAGGATATTATCATCGTTTTATTCTTTAGAAAGTAATAAAATAAAACCACTTTGCAAATGATGCTTCAATCAAGGACTTTATTAAAAATTACTCTTAACATTCTTCATTCTTATTGAAGATTGCCATTTTTGAAAAAGAAAGTATCAGATGAAATCACTTATGCCGAAGATACTGCTAATTCAATTGCACTTCTGGGTAAGTTAAGATTTCCCTAAGGTAGAAGGGTTTAATATATAACAGACCATACTGACAAGAAGGAAATGTCTGTTTTCACTAAGTTTCACTAAGAGTACTCCTCCACATCAAGGCTCTTCTCTTACTTCCCAGTTGGAAATTAATCACAGTGTGTTTGGTGATAATTCTGGGATTGTTTTCTGCTCAGGTGTTTCATGATGCCAAGATTCCTTAAATACAAGGGTAGGCAGGTACTTCTTTGCACTTATTTGACTTGATATTATTTAATTTGAAGAAATGTTTGTTAATTTTTGTAAATCAGAAAGCACAAGTACGCCTCTTTCAGTAATTGCAAAAATGTTTTCCACTTTGAGCTCTAATGCTTAATTAGGATCATTGAGGGCCTAATTGTTCTTCATTAAATGATCTAAAATTTTAAATTTTAAATAAAATTATAAACTGGTGGAACATTAAGAAGTTTAGCATAATACACATATAGATGCAGGTACCTATATTTTTGTACGCAAAAATATGAAAAGTATCATAAAAGTAGAAATTTATATCTGGGTTATTACTTAGTATTCAGGAGAAAGAAAATAATAATTTCCTAGGAAATGAGATCAGTGAAACATTAGCTCTTTGAGTCAGCCCCTGTTATATAACAATGTGTTCCCAAAACAAATCTTACACATTAAATTTATATTTACTAATTTAGGTCTTTATTTGTAAAGGAGAAATATAAGATATACAATTGACCCAATAAATTTATTTTAAAGTATTTACTAAATAGTTATGTTCCCAACATTATACTCCATACAGAAAAATGGAAAAGATTCAACTGTAATGAGTAAAAAGCATTTTGATTTTTAACATAGACACTAACCTGTTATACCTAAATAAGTTTCATAGTCTTCAATTGTAGTTACTTTGGGAGAACTACCTATAGATTTCCTACTGTATGGCTTATTTACACTCTATGATATCATGGAGATTAAATTAAACATGGGGTGTTAGAGGAGAAGACCTTAGGAAGCATGAAGGTTGAGAAATAATGGGAAATTTTAATTCTATGAATCTCTATTATCAGTGGAAATTTACAAGAAACCAACCCAAAAGAGGACATGGTAGTATTAACAAATAAAAATGTAGGTTTTGTTGGTAAAATTTTATTTATTTATTTATTTTTAAAATGCCTCTGTTGCCCTTATTATTTTAAAACGTTGCCTTCTAGGGAGTTGGCAGACATTTGTACAACAAATACATGGCCCATTTCTTACTGAGTGTCAGCCTGCTCATTGTTTAATGACCGCCTGCCTACAGAACACATTACTGTCTCACTTAAGGGTAGTATGAAGTCTTAGCTTAAAATGACCTCCCTTCATTGATTACTGACTACAAATACTGCTTTTCTGTCACATGTTTTTTTAATTCCTGAAAACATGAATTTAAATTAAATAATTGTATATAGTATGAAGTGTTGAACAAAGGCTATTCACGATTTTTACTACTAACTTCCAGTTTCTACTATGTACTAGTAACTTATATTACATTTTCTTCCCTGAGTATTTCTGACTCAGAGCAAGATTCTGGAAATGGACTAGGGAAGAAGTTGGTACTTCACCTACAGATGATAAAACAGGAGGCTGTGAGAAATTATCTAAATTTACAGGAAATAAAAGGGAGAAGCAGATAAGAAACCCTAGAATTTCCCATAAATTTTCATGTTTGGGTAATTTTGATGGAAAAGTCTAGTTGTTCTGGTTGCCTAAAGTTTTTCAAAACCTAAATAGTGATCTTCCAAACCAAAAGAAGGGTCCCCCAAAAATAAAGAGTTAGAATAATTTTGAAACTGTCTTTTTGTAAGTGGTGTCTTTTGCAGACAGATTCTTCGAAAGCAAGGGTCAGGCTTTTCTTTGTGCTTCTTCCTTCTGTCCACTGGCTTCCCCACTCACTGACTACCTCCAGAGATGAACATTATGCAAGACCTAATGCAAAGGAGGAACACCTAATCATTCTTTTACCCTCAGGGAATCCAACCAGACCTGGTTCAGTCCAAAAGCTGATTCTACTGGCTACAGGTGTCCTCATCCATATTAAGGGCATGGATTATTTCCAGAGTCCCACTGATCATTTTCAGATTCCCTGGGGATCACATTTGTAGGACTTCAACAGTGTAAATGCAACCCAGTTTGAAATACAGGCTGAAGCCAATTCAGTAGTAGTTTAGATATGACTGAAAAGGAACACTCTATTCCCTAACCCAACCCAGATAACTTGAACACAAAACTATTACCTGTAGGGCAAAGACTGCCTAAAAGCTCACTCTTCAAGTCTGCCAGCAAATTGAAGAGCAAAGCTTATCTGGAGCTTCTCTAAACAAAGGATGCATTATTAAAGGCAACAAATTACTGACTCTCTAGTTAGGGGGAAAAATGCTAACCTATATCTTACCAAAATAATAGTGGTGAAAACAATAGTAGAATTCACTATATGCTAGACACTGTTCTCAGCTCTTTTCTCATAATAACTCATTTAATCCTCACAACATCTTAAATGTTGTAACTATTGTTGCACCCATTTTATAGATGAGAAAACTAAGACACAAGTTTACACACATAGTTATTGACAGCTAGAATTTAATCTGAGACAGTCTGGTTTCAGCATTTATGTTATTAATCATCATTCTTTTCTTCTTAGAAAGGAGAGGCTGAATTGATTGATAGGCCAAATGTATAAGGATAGATCTAGGCTGTTTTTGTGTGTATATATGTGTATGTGTGTGTATGTGTGTGTGTATCTTTATATATGTATGCGTATATGAATATATACACACATATTCGTATATAAAATCATACATGGTCCAGTTTGAATCTCCGATGAGAATATTTTAATAATCATCATATTATTAACATTTTTTGCTTAAGTTTGCAAATAAACTTATGACGGTATTATTAAATAGCACTCATTTATTCTTTTGGCAGGTGACTTAATGAAAATACCAAATTCTGAATTGAGGATACAAATTTGTAAGTGTGTTGTTGACTTTTATCATGCAGAACCACCAAAGAAACATATTCCAGGTAAAATTTTCAGTGGTCTTTCAGTAATAACTTGTATCTTTAGAAAACAGAATATTCTATCTCATTTCTCTTTGAACTTGAAAGACACAGTATACTCATAAATGCAACACATTAAAAATAGATAGAGGAATCAAGATGGCAGAATAGACAGTCCCCAGCATCACTCTCTCCCACAGTCGACCAATTTACAACTATTAAAAAGCAAAGACTGCCAAGCTGAGGCCTCTAGAGCTCAGGGGAAGAGGAGGAGAGACCTATGAAGTTCATGAAAGTGGGAGAAGCCACTATGAGAGAAAGAAGGGGCCTCTCCGACTGTTTCGAGCCCCAGCCATTTCAAGCCCAGCCCTGGTGAGCAAACAGAGCAAAAGCTGGTAAAAACCACAGATGTGCCCTTTGTGTGAAGTTGCCTGGAGACTGCAAGGGAGAGGAGGGCCTTAGTGGCCCCCAGGCCAGCAAGTCCACTACCAGGGTTCCCATGGACCCACACAGGAGCAAGGGGCCACAGATAACTGATAAAAGGAGCTACTCAGAGGCCAGTGAGCCATCACAAGGGACCGGTGCATGGCATGCCCCATGGGAAGTGTTTGAAGTATGGGGGTGGGGGAGACTGGCCCACTGGTGGAACATTGGTGCACAGCACAGACAGCTGATCTGCCCTCCAGTCAGCACAGGTCCACTCAGTGGAGACTGGTCAGGAACGTAGAACTGCAGGGAATGCAGTCTGCTGCAAAGACTCAAGCCCAGACCAGAGTTTCCATACAACCCCAAGTGTATCAGACCTCACAAGACCCAGAAATGCTTAAAAGGTCAACTGGCTGAAACCTGAGCTGCACAAAAAACCTTCCCCAGAGTATCAGCAGCAAAGCAACAATTTAACTGAACCACAGGGCTCAAGTGCTGGTCCCCATAGGAAGCTCCCCCATTTTAAAAGTAAGCAAAGGACAACAAATGTGCAGAGTTTAAGTGGCATAAGTAGCTAATAATCCAACACAGAACTGAAAGAAAGAACAAAAGACCCACAGATCAGAGACAAATTTCTGATATTAACTAGCAAAGGTCTAACACCACCAAAGAATACCTATAAAACCTAGAAGAACCAGAAGCCCCCCAGGCTTCTGAGTCAGGGTGAGGGGTGCCTGAGGGCCTCAGCCACAGCCCTCCACGTTCGCATCCAGCCTAGCAATGACCAACCCACCATCGGAAATCCCCAGTTCTCTTGAGCCAGTAGGGGAGGTGCATGGGCCTCAGCCATGCCCCCTAACCCTCTTCAACCAGGCCAGCAAAGGAGCCAGCCATGGGCCAGGCCTGCCCCACTGCCCTCCTTCCCCTTCTCATGCAACTGCTCTGCAACAACATCTTAGAATGTAAAAAAATAATAATAATAATTAATTTTTAAAAATAATAAAACTTTTTGTGGTCTCAAGCTTTTCAGTCATTTTTTAAAAATTGTATATGTATTTTTCTCTGTTTTGGATTTGCATGATATTTTTATTCTGATGTTAAATATTTATGACACAGTTTGTAAAATCAAACCCAAATTAGTTTAATTATAATTATTACTACTAATTAACATTATTCAATTCTGTTGATAAAATTATCTTTTAACATATTTTGTATTATAATATCTGTCCCACCCAATTAGATGTTAAATTCCTAATGCTAGTACTATTCTCATCATGGTTGGCCAAAGAGTTCAGTATGTTACAGCTAAGGTATCTTAATATATGATGGTAAAATGAAACACACTGAAATGGGTGGTATCAAGATGGGGGCACTTGTATTATGAGAATTATAATGTTATTTGGGACATAACGAGGGTAAAAAAAATAGGATTAAAAGATAATACAGATCTTTCCATGAACTTTTTTTTTTTTCCTTTTTTTTTTTTTTCGTGTCTGGCAACGGATCGCAACCCTCAGTGTCGAGCCCGTACCGGACTGGACCGGCAACGGGATCGCAACCCTCGGTGCTGCGCCCGCACCTCGCTCAGCCAGTGAGCGGGAACCGGTCTGTATGTGGGATCCGAACCCTCGGCGGGAGCGCCGCCACGCTTCCCAAGCGGCGCACTGTAGCAGTGAGCCACTGGGCCGGCCCATCCATGAACTTTTTGAAGTAACTTCATACTTCCTATCTTCATAGTTTCTGTGATTTATAATCAATCTAGAAAGGGATACAACATATAAATAATATTTTTGAAGTTATATGTTCCTTAATGTAGGTGGAGATAAGAACCTGTGGTAGTTCAAAGAAAGATTATTTATGACTAGAGAAAAGTGGAAAGACACCTGAACTAGATAAATAAGTAACAAGATTATTAAATGTCAAATTTGAACTATTGATGCAATAGACAGGTGGAAGTGTTTGGTAGATAATATAGACACTGGATACTAAAAGCAGCAAGGACCAGAAATACAGGTTCAGAATTCACCCAAATAGAGATGAAAATTGAAACCATAGCAATGATTAAGTTTGCCAGGAGATAAAGAATATAATAAACAGGAACACCGATTCTGCTTTATGGAATGATATGTTGCCCAATTCTAGAATTGCAATAAAGCCAATTGAGATCTTTAACTAAATTTGTTGTAATATTGACCTTTGACAGTTCTGGAGACCATGAAGAGACCTGAAGGAGACTACTGATGATCCTCGAGACACCTTGAGGAATGAAGAAAGTGACAATAAGCCCCTCTTTTGGGGGACCACTGTCTTCCTCATGGAGTCCTGAGAGTTATGAGTAAGTCCCTCTCAGGTCTGAGCTCTGCCCTGTTTACATTTGAGTTCCCTGATCTCTTTGGCTTTTGGGGGTACCATGGGTTAGTCTGTGCTGTGAGAGAGCATTTGACCTTGTACCAACCAAGGGTTAGTTGGTGCTGTGGCAGGGCACATTACCTTTGGATTTGTGGTGGCTGATGTGTAACTGGCAAAATGGCTGCAGTTTTAATATTGCATTCTTAGGTAAGGGAGGCCTCAAATGTCTGACTGTGTCAGACAGAAACTGGAAAATAATTGGCTAAGTTGTCAAGGAGATCTCAGAGCTAAGTCCTTCTTGGCTCTGAGACCCAAGATCCAACATAAGAATGGAATTCTAATTTCAAAACAATGTGAGTACTCTGCTCTCCAAATACCTGCCTTTTTTTATATGAGAATTATAGCCCTAGAAGCTGCAAATATTTACAAAAATGGCAAAATCTTACTGAAAATAATTCAAAATTATGATGGTCATTATTAAGAACATTGCATATGAACAACACTGCATGTTAAGATTGATCCTTTCCCTGCCATGTATAGCTATTGCTTTTCTGTTGTAAGTTGTTTTGTCCTGAGAACTTAGCTTGACTTTCTATCTGTTAGATGCATGTGATATATAGGGCCTGCATGTACAGACAGCAAACCAAAAGGTTGAGAGCACCAAGAATATGACCAGACGGAAATGCTGGTTGAACCCCATTTGCAGCTAAACTGACCGTGGCCAGCTCTCAAGGCATTATCTAAGTCTTTCTATTAGCTGTTCTTGGAAGTGGCTTTGGGTCTTGGAAAGGCTAAAGTGCATTTTAAAATAAGGGTACAATACCAAGATAAGGGTTCAGCTCCCCCTACTGGCCAGCCACCAAAAATAAATAAATAAAATAAAATAAAATAAGGGCATCTGAATTAGCCCCGTTTAGAAGCTTCTAAAAAGATATCAGACATTTTTATTGCCTCCCTAAAAGGCTGTTCGCTGAAGACCAAATAAAAAGTTTATGCTACTAATCGATGAGAAAATTAAATCTACCAACATTTTTGATTAATTACTATCCCAAGTTAAAAACAAAAAGAAAGCTAGATAAAGTATTTATAAAAGTTAGGTCTTAAGGTCAAGCAGGCATAGAAAATGGTTTCTTTTTCCTGAAGTGAGTACTCTAAGAAATAAGCTAAACTGAAAAGACTGCCTGTGGAGCTAAATTGGTCTCCAAAATACAACTTTCTGGCATTCAGTTGGTTATTTTGAATAGACTTCTGAATTTTTTTCTAGGCTCATCTGTGCATTTTCTTGTAAGACCCTATGGTAAAATTCTGTGATTGTTGTGTGTTGGCATCCATTTCTTAGTCTTCCACTGTATCTCCTCTAACTGACACAGCCAAACTCCTTATTGAAAAGGCCTGCATTCTTTCTCTATGCTTTGAGTTGTAAATTTGTTTTCTTGCTTTTTCTACAGTTCAGTGAGGGCTTTGGCCACATGGGGCAGAGAAGCTTTAACTTGTTCCATTCATAGAGACAATTTGAACCCAACTGTTCTTCTAAATTAGTGAATTTTATATTGTACCTGTCTCATAGCTAAAATGTTGAGTGAAAACTATAAGACCTTTCTTTCTTTCTGTGTTTTTATGTGTATGTGGTGTGTTGTGTCTACATGTATGTTTATGTCTATAAATGTTTGTATATCATCTACATGACACCAAATTGGCTGATTAATAATGCACACTCCTAAATTAAGTAAATAAGCCTAAATGCTTTTTAAGTTCATGTAATTTTAGCAATCACTGGTAAATAAAGCTAGTTTTTTTAAAAAAGAAGAATATAGTAACAGCAAGGGATCAAGACTGACATCATGGAGAGTGCCTATATTGAGGTTTGGAAAAAATTATCCAAAGAAATTGGCAGTAAAGGAGGTTCAAAGGGAAGAAGAAAACCTGAAGACTGCCATGTCTGTGTGCCAGTGAATGAAATGTTTGCTGAAGGAGGGAGTGGTCTCAGTGTCAAATGCTGCAGAGGCCTCTGTCATTAAAGAATGAAAGACCACGACGTTAATGTAGTATCTGAAAAGTTGTAGTTAATCTTTGACAGCTCCATTGACATAAAATGGTCAGGACTGATTCAGAATTAACAAATGAGAGGATTGTGAGAATAGCGGCAGTGGGTTTGAGAGTGAGGGTGTAGAGGCAGTTCATGAATACAGACTTATATTTTCAGCTCAAATGGTGAAGAAAAAGAAGGAAGATAGAGAACAGCTCAACTGGTAGCAAAATTAAAGAAAGGTTATTTGGATTTTGTTACTGTTTTTAGGATAGGGAGAAATTAAGTTTGTATGCAGAGGACCTAAAGCTAGTAAGTGGGAAATGGGAAGGCAAAATTCTCAAAGAAAGCATGGAATTAAAATGGAATTAAAAGCACAAGTTTAGACTTAACCTTGGCCAAATACAGGCACCTTTCCAAAAAAGGGAGACAAATTGTGTGCAAGTTAAGACAGGGGAGTGTTGATGTGCAGAGAAGTGAGGTTGACCTTAATTTTATCAAGCTCTGAACATTAGGAATCTTAACACTCTCACTAACTGTTGTCGGTTTCAAGAAATGAGTATGAATGGTCATCTTGACCACAGCTTAAAAGTTCTCAGTAAAAAAAAAAAAAAAAAGAAAAAAAAAAAAAAAGAAAAAAAAAAAAAAAGAAAAAAAAAAAAAAAGAAAAAAAAAAAAAAAGAAAAAAAAAAAAAAAGAAAAAAAAAAAAAAAGAAAGGGGCCGGCCCGGTGGCGCACTGGATAAGTGCGCCGCTTGGGAAGCGCGGCGGCGCCCCCCCCCCCGGGTTCGGATCCCACATACAGACCGGTTCCCGCTCACTGGCTGAGCGAGGCACGGGAGCAGCACCGAGGGTTGCAATCCCGTTGCCGGTCCCCGGTCCGGTACGGGGGCAACACTGAGGGTTGGAATCCATTGCCGGACACGGAAAAAGACAAAAGACAAAAAAAAAAAAAAAAAAAAAAAAAGTTCTCAGTAATTGGAAGAGACATAGCCCTGGAGATAGGGATCAAGTCGACAAGCCTTAATATTGCTATATCCTGCTATAGAAATGTAATCTCAATAGAAAAAGATACAGTAAGTATCAAGTATTTACTTTTGGTCCATCCGTATGATAGACTATTATGCAAATAAAAATCATGAGTTTGGAAAATATTTTGCAGCATCAGAAAAAGGTTACAATAGAAATTTTAGTGGCTACAGTATAATATAAAATTATATATACAGTATGTTATTAAAATTATATGCATACCTGAAAAATATCAGCAAAAAATATACCAAAATGTTAACGTTATCTCTAGATGGTGAAATTTTGGGCAATTTTTGTTTTTCTCTTTGTACTTTTTTAAATGCCTTTTAAAATTCAGGCACTATGTAGTTGCTAGGCATAGACTATACTGAACTAATTACAGGAATGCATGCATAGGGTCTTGTCCATGGCCAGAGATCAAATTTGGAAAGATAAAACAAACTGACAGATATCTCAAAACTATGGCAAAATTAAGGAATCTAGTTGGTCTGAAAAGTCAGGAAGTCAGGGAGTTAGATAAATGAGATCTCTGAGAGAAAATAGCCTCATCTCAGGTGAATAAATACCCTCTGGTATTTAATCTCTCTTGTTGAATATAGTTAGGCAGGCACCTGTGCAACTGCATCAAAAGGCGATGTAGTGTTTCTCACGGGTGCTAAGGCAGAAGGAAATTTTTATAAGACATTTCACTAATAATCAAACTTCCCTAAAATACCATTACATTCACTAGCTATACTGGATTGAATTATGTCCCCCCAAAACTCACTGGAACTTGAATTGTGTCCTCCAGGTTTTACGTATTAAAAACTTAGCCCCCTCTGTGGCTGTTAAGAGGGTAGGAAATCGTATTATGGTAATTAAAAGGTGGAGCCTTGAAGAGGTGATTGGGTTGTAGGACCATGCCATAGTGAATGAATTAAAAATGGTGGCCAGGGGTATGGTATGGTTCTGAGGGCTTTAAAAGAGAGAGGGGAGAGTCTGTCTCTCTCTCTGTTCTCTCTGCTTGCACCATCTTGCAATGTGAGATCCCTGGGTCATTGTCACCACCACCAGATGGACTTTGGACTTCCCAGCCTCAGAAACTGTAAGCAAATAAATTTTGTTTTCTTTATAAATCACCCAGTTCTTGTGTATTTTGTTATAAGCAACAGAAATGGACTAATACACTAGCATTTATAAGAGAAGCATTATATTTTTCACCTCTTGTTTTATTGCTGACACCGCATGATTGTTGTCCTTTGAAAGCACTGAAGTAAGGCATTGACCTGAATAGTACTTGCAATCATGCCATTTTCCTTTGCAGAGAGTCCTATCCAGTGACGAATAAGAAATATTGTTCTCTCTTAGAACTTAAGTGGGATCCCCAAAACTTAAGATGTATCCCCAAAATTCATGGTCCTATTTCAAATGCTACACCAGATATCAGCAATCTACAGTCCCCAGGCCAAAGTCAGCCACCTGCAAATAAAGTTTTATTGGAACACAGCCACACCCATTTATTTTTGTATTATGTATATCTGCTTTCTTGCTACAGCATTATGCTGCAACATGCTACAGAGTTGAGTAATTGAGAAGAAACCTTATAACTTGCTAAGCTTAAAATACTATCTGGACCTTTTCAAAAAAGGTTTGCCCTTCCCTATGCTATACAAATTTTAAATGCTGCTCACTTACTACAATTTTTTGTTGTTGCTGTTAATGATAAATTACTCATTCTTTTCAATCATTATATAATATAATTGTACATAGTTATTAACTAATTATTGTTAGGTTACCAGCAAGCTAGTTCATCTTACAAGATTAAAATGGCTGAAATTGGAGGATTGGCAAAAACAATGGTCCAGTCAATGACCTTGCTTGAAAATCAACTTGTTGAGAAACTTTGGGTACTTAAAGTTCTGCAGCATCTCTCAACTTCTGGTTTGTATAATATTATTTAAGTTTGAACACTTCATTGTCAATAATTTTTGTTTCCATCTAACAATGTCAAGACAGTATAACATAAATAATTTTTCAAATTTATTTTCAGAAGTTAATTGTACTTTAATGATGAAAGCACAAGCAGCCAGTGGAATCTGTGCTCACCTCAATGACCCAGATCCTTCTGGACAGCTTCTGTTTCGTTCATCAGAAATACTTTGGAACTTATTGGAAAAATCTTCAAAAGAAGAAATCATACAACAGCTTAGTAACTTAGAATGTTTGCTGTAAGTATATTTGGTTAGATAGAAATTTTTTTTAATTTAAAATGATAGCCAGTGACATAACTAATATCTTTGTTTGAATCTGTGTTCAGTTAGGCTTTTGACACATGATGGCTGTGTTCCAGAACATCTTTTTTGTGCCACGGTATAAATGAAATTGCACAATAACAAGCCATGCTTTTCTATGTGGAAGACTCTTAAAGTAGTTTAAAGAATTAAGACTAAATTATGCCTTTGAATATGTATAAAGAAAAATTAGGCATTTAGAACTATTTCATTTATTCATTCAGTAAATCTATTATTGAGTGCTTACTATCTTCTAGATATGCAATAAACAGTAGCAATAAAATGTGAGTAAGCCTTCAAGTTGCTTATTCATTTATTCAACAAATAATCGTCTGCTTTTGCCAGTTTCAGTACTAGGCTGTAGAAGTACAGTGGAAACAATACAGACATGGTCTCTGTTTTCATGGAATTTACATTTTGCTAGGAGAGTTGGACAAATAAATAAGCAACTAAAAGAGCATACTAAAATATTATGATAGAGATTACTGCAAGGTGCTTTGTGTTCTCCAGAAGAAAGTGAATCAACACATTTTTATTTGCAAGTAAACTAAAACCCAACCCAATTGACTTAAGCAATATAGGAAATTTATAGGCTACTGTAGCTATAAAGACAAAGATAAAACTGGTTTCATGTACATCTTTATTCAAGGCTCAGCAAATATCAGGACTTGTTCCCTCTTTACCTCTCTGTACTATCTTCCACTCTGTTAGCTTAATTCTCAAGTTCCATGTAGTGAGACCTAAGAAATCTAGGTTCACATCATCTCAACCCCAAATCAAGCAGAAGAGAAGCCTTGCTATCCTGAAAGCTCAAAGAAAAGTCTTCAAATTCAGTCCCTGTTGGCCCTGAATGGTCTCATGTTGGCCAAATGCCTATTCCAGAATGAATTAAGAATGATAGAGAAAAGGAAAGCTCTGACTGGCTAAAAAGCAGCTGAAGGCAGCTTCACATGATTAAGAGTTGGCAAGTAGTGAACACCTAAATAAAAATAAGGGTACTATTATTATAAGAAGGGCAAGTGGGTCCCAGGAGGCAAAGCAACAAATGTCTAGTGTAGAAGGAACCTGATCCAGACTTGGAGAGTTAATAAGTGCTTCCTAAGGAATGCTAATCAGGTATCTGAATAATAAATAGGAATTAACAACACAGAAAAGTTCTTTATGTGGGGAGCATCTTAGACAGGGGGAACAGAAGTGAAAATAGAATGTGGCAAAATCAAAAAGCTGAAAGTAGGCTGGCTGGTTAGCTCAGTTGATTAGAGCATGGTGCTGATAATACCAAGATACCAGGTCTCATCCCCGTACTGGCCAGCTCCAAAAAAAAGAAAGAAACCCATAAACCCAAACTAACAAACAAAAAGAACTGAAAGAAATTCAAGATGGTGAGAACAGAAAGAACAGAGTAGAATGGTGAGAAATGAGGCTAACAATGTTAACAGCAACTATAACATGAAAGGCCTGATAAACCATGTTAAAGAGATAGGGCTGTATCCTAAGAACAAAGACAAGTCTTTAAATGGTTTTAAAAAGGAAAGTGACATAATTGAATCCTTATTTTGGAGAAGTCACTTTGACCACCATGTAGAGATTAGATTAATGGGTTCTTTTCTGGTACATAGTGAATTAGAGGCAGAGTTGGATGTATGGAAAAGACTAGGAAAACTTGAAATGAATAATGTAATATAAAAAGGGAGATTTTGTTGAAAGACGCTTAAGTAATATTTCCATAGAAATATGTGTCAGTTCAGGCTGCTATAACAAAATACCTTAGATTGGGTAGTTGATAACAACAGAAATTTATTTCTCACAGTTTTGGAGGCCAGAAGTCTGAGATCAATCAGGGTACCAGCGTGGCTGGATTCTGGTGAATGCACTCTTCCAAGTTGTAGAGTGCTGACTTCTCATGTCCTAACATGGAAGAAAGAGAGCAAGAAAGCTCTCTGGGATCCCTTTTATAAGGGCACTAGGCCCATTCATGAGTGCTCCATCTTCATGACCTTATTACTTCCCAAAGGCCCTGCCTTCTAATACCATCACATTGGGGATCAGGATTTCAATATATGAATTTTGGAGGGACAAAAACATTCAGTCCATAACAATATGGTCTTTAAAATATGACTTTATTTTCTAGGGCTTTGAAGGAAGTGTTTAAAAATCTGTTTATGAGAGGTTTTAGTCATTACGATCGTCAGCTTAGAAATGATATATTAGTGATCACTACAATTATAGCTCAAAACCCTGGAGCACCAATAATCGTAAGTATGAAGCAAATTGCATTAATTTTAATTATGGAAGTGGTGGGGGCTGGAGAAGGGAGTCCTAAAATATGTTGTAATATCTATGTATTTTGTTATAATGCCAAATTATGTTGTAATGCCATTATGGTCAACAATATACATATCATGCTGCCAATTCTTCTTTGCATTCCTTTGGAAATTTGAGATCCTTCTTATATTTTATAATTTGTGCCCATATGTACTATTTATGATGCTTTTCTTTCCCTCCTGAGGATATGAGTTTTCATCTGGCATCATTTCTCTTTCACTGGAAGAACTTCCTTTACCATTTCTTGTGGTACAGATCTGCTAGCTGGTGGCAACAAATTCTCTTAGTTTTCTTTCATCTGAAAATATCTTCAATTCACCTTAATTCTTGAGAACTATGCTCACTGAATATAGAATTCTAGTTTGTAAAAATTTTTCATTTACCACTTTAAAGATAATGTTCCACTGTCTTCTGGCCTCTGGTACATAGTGAATTAGAGGCAGAGTTGGAAGTGTGGAAAAGATTAGGAAAACCTGAAATGTTTCTGACAAGAAGTATTTGTTTTTTCAAATTATTGTTCCCTATGTACAATATATCATTTTTTCCTCTGGCTGTTGCCAAGATTTTCACTCTATCTTTGGTTTTCAGCAGTTTTCCTATGATGTGCCAAGGTGTGATTTCCTTTGTATTTATCCTGCTTGGGGTTCATACAGCTTCTTGAATATGTAAATTTAAGTCTTTAACCAAATTTGGAGAATTTGGGCTATTATTTCTTCAATTTCTTTTTTTAGCCCTATTCTTTCTCCAATTACTTGTATGTTTGACTTTTTTATATTGTTGCACAGGTTTGTGAGTCTCTGTTCACTCTTTTCACTCATTTTTCTGTTCTTCAGATTGTATAACTTGTATTGGTCTATATATTTAAGTTCACTGACTTTTTTTTTCTATCACCTCCATTCTGCTGTTTATCTCATCTAGTACATTTTTAATTAAGATATATTTTTTAGTCTGAGAATTTATTTTTGGTTCTTTTTTGTAATTTCTGTTTTTCCACTAAGAGTTCCTATCTTTCCATTCATCATGGGCATCTTTACTGTGGGTTCTGGCTAAAGAGTAGTTTGTGTTTTGTTTGCTTGTTTGTTTATTAATAGGCATTTAACTTGGCTAGATTCATCCCTGTAGTCGATGGCACCTCAAATCTCAGTTCAGTTCTTCTAGTCTTACCAGGGATGCTTGAGTTTTCCTGCACTTCTGTGGTTCAGTCATCAGCCAGAGATCTGGGAAGGGTTTGTACACAGAATTTGAGGTTGTTCTTCTCTGCCTGTCTCCGTAATGGGATTCCTTCCTTCACTAAATAGTGGCTGTGGTTGCCTCTGTGCTCTGGTTCTTTAAGCCACTAAGACTACAGGTTTACTCTGAGTTTCAGCATCCCCACAAGGCGCAGAATATGACCTTTCCTTAGGCCCAAAGCCATTTTTAAAAAATGGAAAACTCATGCAGTGCCACTCCCTTCTTCAAAAGTCCTGACTTCCTTCCAGTGTCTGCTTGCTCTTAGTCACAAGAGAGTTGTTTTTATATTTTGTCCAGAGTTTACAATTGTTACCAGCAGGAGGATCTGTCTTATAGGAACTACTCAGCCATACCAGGAACTGAGCCTCTCCATATTTTATAATGTAAACCATATGGATTCTAAAGTAGTAGGAATATGAAACTGTAAGCTCAAAAGCTCAGCGTTTGCCCCTAAAAAGATCTTCCTAATGTGCAAAGTCCAACTAGGATATCTCTGTCAGGAATGATTTTCCTCATGCTGAAATGTTGCAACTGTGGTCATTCTTCAGGGATTTCCATGTTAAGTAGAAACTATTTTGTTATCTCTTGAGCAAATATTTGCCATAGTGAGAGTGGTTGGGGTAGGAGTGGGGATGTTTAAGAAGTAAAGCTGTCGAAAATAACTGGATTTTCATCTCTTATTGTGTCACTTAAAGGTATAGAAAATGAATTACAGAAGAAATTATGTAGACCTAATACATTTTGGGTTCTTACCAAACGTTAAATAGTATCTTTGTACTATTCATATAATAGAATAGCTGAAACTGGATAATTTATAAAGAAAATGAAATTTATTTCTTACAATTTTGGAGGCTGGGAAGTCCAAGGTCAAGGGAGCACATCTGGTAAGGGTCTCCTTGGTGGGGACTCTGCCAAGTCTCACAACAATGCAGGATATCACATGACAAGGGGGCTAAGAGTGTATTAACATGCTCACTTGCTCTCCTTCTAAAGCTACCAGTGCCTCTCTCATGATAACCCACACATTCATTAACCCACTAATCCATTAATTCATTAATTCATGAATGATTTAGTCCATTCACGAGGGCATAGCCCTCACAATCCAGTCACCTACCAAAGGCCCCACCTCTCTCAACACTGCCACATTGGGAATCAAGCTTCCACATGAACTTTGGAGGGGACAACCATTCAGACCATAACTGTGTCTTGTAGAATATTCATAGAATAATGTAAAACATTTCTTAGAACCTACTTCTGTAGGTTTAAAATGAAATAAATTACAAGTATATCTGGCTATATTCTTTTATTTTCTTGCTTTCATCCCTTTTATTAGTGCTTTATGAATTCCAATGAATGACAATAGGTGAATATCATAAATGGTACTTAAATAGTAGGTAAAAATGGTCATCTGTATCTTAATTTCCATCTGATTAATTCATGTTTTGTGTATTTATATCAGGAATGTGGCTTTGCCAGAGATTTGATACTATTTGCAACCTTTAATGAAGGTAAAAACCATAAAACTTTATATTTTTTTTAATTATCTTGATGAGTCTTGTACATCATTTTAGCTTTCATTTTACTCTTTCTTTTCCCTTCACAGTTAAAAGTCAAAATCCTTTGGTAAAAGGTCTTAAGCTTTCTAATTCCTATGAAGATTTTGAGTTGAAGAAATTGCTATTCAATATGATTGTTATCTTATGTAAAGATTTACCTACTGTACAGGTAAAGAGCAATCAAAACAGGAAAATTAATAAAAATTGTCTCACTTTGTAGTATAACTTTTTTAAAAGTCATGACTGCACATCCTTCATCAACCCATATATCTTTACCAGAGAAGTAACAAACTCTGACTAGCCTGAATTTCAGCTTTCAAAAATTTTCTTTGCCTATCTGTTAATAAGGTACCTAAATTTAAAAAACATGATCCAAAGAAAAACAGTAGAACCTAAGAAATTTATCAGTATATTTAGATCTCCTGAATAAGAGAGCATAATATAAAAGAAGTTTCATACAGGCGCATTCAGCCTAATAGTTTGTCTCTGACCTTAGTAACAAGGGATGTTTTAATGCCAGAGGAAGTTGTTAACCTCTGTGATGCCTATCTCAAACATTTATGAACCTGCTTTTTCTCTACATAAACCTAATGTCTTGGGCCGGCCCGGTGGCACACTCGGTAGAGTGCAGCGCTTGGGAGCGCGGCGGCGCTCCCGCCGAGGGTTCGGATCCCATGTGGAGATCGGTCCGCTCACTGGTTGAGCGCGGTGCGGGCACAACACCGAGGGTTGCGATCCCGTTGCCGGTCGCAGTGCGGGCGCGACACTGAGGGTTGCGATCCCGTTACCGGTCACGAAAAAAGACAAAAAAAAAAGGAAAAGAAAAGAAAAATAAATAAATAGATAAACCTAATGTCTTTAATTTTTTTTTATTATCCATGAATTTGTTTTAGTACTTTATTTTTCACATAAGAGCATGATGTAATCTAAAGGACACTGGAACTGAATTTCACTTCTGCCTTATCACCTACTAGTTATGTGGCCTTGGAAAAATCACCTCATCTTTCTGAGACTTAGTTTATCCTTCTGTAAAAGAAAGGTTATAATACTTCTGTCCTGCTCACAGGGCTGTTAAGAGGTTGAGATGAAGGCTTTGTAAACTATAAAGTGATAGGAAAATGTATTACTAATAATTCCATTAGTTTAGTTACTTGCCACATTAAGCGAAATTTCCATTTCGTCCTAAAATTCTCTCAAGTATCAAGGGGTTACCATGAAAAAGAAGTGGGGATTCATTCTATCAATATGAGGGTACTCCAAAAAGTCTGTGGAAAAACAGAATCCATAAACTTTTTGAAATACCTTCATGTCATTACCAATAATACCAAGAAGGGCTAATATAGTGGTAAAGGCTTTAGTCAGGTGGAATCCTAAGGCTATAACTTTCTAGCTATATGATCTTTAATAGGTTGTTTAGTTTCTCTAAATCCCAGGTAGCTCAACTTTAACATGGGGATAGCACCTACCTCATGGGATTATTATGAGGATTTAAATGAGCTCAGCATTTACTTGCTAATGCCACTTTGATATAGAACCTAAATATATTTTCTGAAATGCCAAATAGAAAATCATTCCATAAAATATAGTTTATTATTACAGTGGAGTATTATATAGGTATTAAATCATGGATTTAAAGACAATAAATAAAGTTTCCACTACAGCTTATAAACCAATTTTAGTTGATTGAACATTTTATAGACAATAGTCAAACACAAAGATTTTGATGAGGTCCTTAAAGCACTTTGTGAGCAGCAGAATTAACTATTTTCTTTATGTCATATGTTTGTGGCCCAGTGATAGCAGTGATAATGAATAGGTGCACTATCAATTGCAGTTCACAGGGAATTTCAAAAAACATTATCCACTTAATTATTACCATAATGCCAGAACTAGTAGTTATTCATATACCTGTTTTCTGAACTCTAAATCTTGCATTCTTTCCATGCAGACTAGTAGGGAATTGAAAAAAATTCATAATTGTTATTGTGAAAAAGTCTTTATAGAATAATGCCAAATTAAAAGAGAATTAAATATAATATAGTACATAGTGTTTTATTTTCTTATAAACTATAAATATTCATCAACCAGAAACAGCTGTAATATTAACTCTGTTGTCCTAATAGCTATACATTTTTGTTTTATTTTTATTGAAATAATAGATTCAATAAAATTTTTAAATACTAGGCATGTAATTAAACATGGCTTGTGACCTAACTAACATTCATTTGATAGAATGTTTATATAAGTTCTGTTGTATGTGGTTAAATATTAGCCTTATTCTTTACTTCAGACAAAATTGTTTTTTATAGTACACAGCTAAGTCTGTGAAATGTTTCCTTCAAAAAATGGAGTAAGGAAAGAAATGCCAGCAGTTTATTTTCCCCAAATTTTTAACTCCTAAGGTTTTATCATAAGCAAAAACTAAATTACATATATGAGCAGCAAAGACAAAAAATTAATACATATTGTGTATTATTGTCACCTAGAAAGTGCATACCTCAGAAAAAGGGATTATAACCAACTGTTATTGTTGCTTTTTTTTCTGTTTTTTTATTTTCTATGTTTTTTTGGTACCTATCATAGATGGGGGATATTTATGGGCCCAGCATGCTTCCGCTGCACCACTGTTCTAGTTAGACTGAGGATATTTATGAAGGAAATATTTTGAAACGATCATCAATAAAACATCAATTTGGAAATCATTTAATTTTCTTAGATTAAATGAAGTTATTTTAATTAGTTAATTAAATTAGTTAATTAGTTATTTTAATTAGTTATTTTAATTACTAACAAAGTACCTTCTGTCTTCTTTCATAGCTATTAATTGATGGCAAAGTTGTTTTGGCTTTGTTTACCTATGTTAAAAAGCCTGAGAAACACAAAATAATCGAATGGTCTGCCGCACAGCATGAAGAATTACAACTGCATGCAATTGCCACTTTGTCAACAGTGGCTCCTCTATTAATAGAAGAGTACATGTCATGCCAGGGAAATGCTCGAGTCCTTGCATTTCTAGAATGGTGTGAGAGTGAAGGTGAGTGACCCTTCAAGATTCCTGTCAAAATTCTAAGCTTCGTTTTTCAACAGAACTCTCAATATATTTCTATATTCAATACAAAAAGTGATAGTTAATTACAGTGAAAAGAAATAAAAATATGTAGATCCATCTTCCTTTTAATCTGTTTGTACATTGTTTTAAGAAAAAAAATTGAGATTTTATTTAAAGTTAGGCATTAGTAAATCTCATAACTATAGTTGATGCACACATAAAAGAAATCATACATATAAATTGATTTAAATTTGTATATTATTAGTCCTATCCAAAAATTGTATTTAGGAAGGAGATAAATCCTGGCAATATGTTAATGCACTTGTTCAACAAAACGAATGCCTACCAGATACTGTTTTACCTGCTGAAAATACATTTATGCTTAAAATAAATGAAAGTCCTTACCTTCATGAAGCTTAAAATCTAGATTTCTAGCAAGAAATAATGACTCCATATGTACTCTACCAAATTAGCAGAGCCTCCAATTTGAATTAGTATATTATTTTAATTCTTAGAAAACAAGAAATACATTCATGTTTTAAAAAATTTTATAGGGGGCCGGCCCGGTGGCGCACTCCATAGAGTGCAGTGCTTGGGAGCGTGACGGCGCTCCCGCTGAGGGTTCAGATCCCATATAGAGACCGGTCCGCTCACTGGTTGAGCGCGGTGCAGGCGCGACACTGAGGGTTGCGATCCCATTGCCGGTCGCGGTACGGGCGTGACACTGAGTGTTGCGATCTCATTACCAGTCACGAAAAAAGACAAAAAGGAAAAAAAAAATTTTTATAGGGAAGATACTGTTTCTCTTCTGGTACTAATTTTGTTCTGGAAATAATTTTGTATGATGCATTTTCATTAGATCAAGAAAATCACTCATTTATCCAAGAGGGAGGAAAAAAATTATAGCCTTTTTATTCTCTAATTTCTTATATGCTGAGTTTCTAAATTTAGTCTTGTTAAATTACTTTCCACTAAAGAAAACATTTCTTCTGTCTATTCTTTTTATCATTTATGTTTATAGAAGACTATAAATCAAAAAGGAAAATGCTGCCTGATAAGAGAAGACTGATAGCTAACAGTTATTGAGTACCTACTGTATGGTAGGACTTAAACACTGTACGAGTATTAACTCATTTAGTCCTCCCAACAGTCCTAGCAAGTATAGGTACTATTATTATCCTGGTTTGTCAGATGGGTAGAACTCAATCTGAGACGCTAAATAACTTGTTTCTAGACACACAGTAAGCTGCAGAGCAAGGATTTAACACAGCCTTCAAAACTCACACTTTTAACCAGTACACAACACTCAGAACAGAATTGTAAACTTTTTTAGCTTTAAACATAAAGCTACTTATAAAAGAACCTTTTAAAGAATGCTATTGTAAAGAAGGGAGGACTTGCCTTGCTATTTATCAAGACCTACCATAAAGCTATGGTAATTAAAATTATGTGGTACTGGGTCAGGGATAGACAAATAGCATGGAATATATGCAAGGTTGGCATTATCAGAGATGATATTGCCAATAGTGAGAGAAGAGTGGTGCTGGGGAAGTTGGCCCTTCATGTGAAAAAGTAAAAATTAGATCTTTCACTTTGTTAAAAAAAATTCAGTTGCAAAATGAATTAAAGACCTAAATATGAAAAGTAAATGTGAAGCTCTTAGACGAAAACATAGTAAAATATCTTTATGATAGATATCAGGGTAGGAAAAGATTTCTTTAAAAAGACTCATGAGCTTAAGTTATGCAGGAAAAGATTGATGTATTTAACTACTGTAAAACTTACAAATGTCTATATGACAAAATCAGAATGAAATATCAATCTCCAAATTGACAGAAGACATTTACTACCCCCATGACTGATAAAGGATTAGAATCCAGGTTCATGAAGAACTTCTACATATTTACAAGAAAATAATTCAGTACAGAAGTGTATGAAGGATAGGGACTGCCATGTCACAGAGAAAATCCCAAATTTTCAAAAACATTAAAAATGATTTGGAAAAAATCAATTAGTCCTATACACTGTATCTATATAATCACTTTGGAAACAATTTGGCAACTTTAGTAAAATTCAGTGTGGGTATACCCTATATGATTCTGGTGTCACATAGAGAATTCTTATCTCTGGGAATAAGGAGACATGAACCAGAGTGTTCATTGTAGCAGTTTGTACTAGTGAATTGATAAACTGATTCATTTATGAAATGAATACTGAAAGTAATTAAAATTAATGATCTAGATCTATTTGTGACAATGCAAATAATTTTTAAAACATAATGTTGAGTAACAGGAACAAGTTACAAAAGATACATACAATATGATAGATTTGAATAAAATCTTAAAGTATTTATTTCTGTACTGGGAATAGAAGGAGAGATGGGATAATATTTTATTTACCTCTCTAAAAAAACTAAAGCAAATATAACAAAATTTTAATATCTGTTTAAACTTATAGATAGTATGTCTGATTTTTTTTTAAATTTTAAATGTTTTAAATTTCTTGATGTAAAGTAAATAATTTTTTTCCCCAGATTCCTTCTTTAGTCATGGTAACAGTTTTCATGGTGCAGGTGGCCGTGGCAACAAGTTTGCCCAAATGCGTTACAGTTTAAGACTCCTAAGAGCCATGGTCTACCTTGAAGATGAGACTGTAAACATAGATCTTTGTGAAAAGGGAGCAATTCAGCAACTCATAGGTAAAATATAACATGGTAGTTTACCGATAAAAGTGGAACATTTTAATACTAGAGGTTTTGTTTGAAATGTTTTTCTACAAATTTATTTTGTTTTTATGCCTAAGAAACTCCTGAATATTTTCTTGATTCTTGTTTCATATTGTTGCTATAAATCAGTTTGTATTCTTATTAAAACATCATAATCACTAATCCTTTAAACATCTGTTTTCTCAGTTCAGATACCATTTTTTATTTAAGATTATCTTTTTTTTAATGTGCTGTTATGATTCATTCTTCTAGTATTAAGGCCTTTTGAAGCCATTTTAAAAGAGGACATTACACTTTCCAATGCATCTGACATACCTGAACACTGGTACCTTGTTGTATACAGAAATGAATATAGGAGTTTCTTTTCTGATAGGAAAAATCAGAATATCCTTGATTTTCAACTTACAATCGATTATGCTGAGTCAACTTATCCCCTAAAATAGGTACATGTAAGTCCAGTGTAAAATTTAGAACCCCTAAACAAAAACTGCTTTACCTTTTATTATTTAAAAAAAAAAAAAGTCATCCAGTCCTCACCTTTCCTGACTTTGAAAGTAAGAGCTATTTCAGTCATTCATATTCACTGATTGCTTCATGAGTAAATGATATAACCTGTTGGATGTCAATTAGTTACAAATGCCTACTCAAAACTTTTCTTCCTGTCGAGTTAAACTGCCTTCTCTTCCATCATTTGTGTAGTGGGATGGTACCCTCCAATAATAATAATAATAATAGTAAGGAAAAAGAAGTATATTGAAAAGGGAGCTAGGCAAAAGCATTTACTTTCTTGCCAGGTTTGCTTCGGATGACCAAACCTGAAAGTACATTTTATCACTCCCGTGCACTTTCCATTGCACAAAACTTAGTCTTAAGGACCCAGTCTAACTACAGGAGATTCAGGAAATACAATCTCCCATATTTCCAGGAAGAAGACTTAATCCTATCTGGGGCAGGGGAATAGGGTAGGGAAAGGGAAAACAAATAGCAAGAGTTCTTCTATTCTTAGGACCTTTTCACCCTAATTTCCGGAAAGAAGTTGATCTTTATTACGTGAGTTCATGGAGTCAGAGGTCTTGTGTTACTGAATCTAACAAAGCTTTATAGTAGTAACATGCTCAATAGTCACTTCATTGTAAATGTTTATACACTTTCTGAGTGGGCACTGGGTTTTACAAACATGTATAGATAGAGCAGGATACTGGGGACATTGTCCTTGATAAGAACAAAAGAGAATATGTATATCATAGAAAGATAGCATTTGTTACCCTGCACCATCAATTAGGCCCTTAATGAGTAGAATAGAGAGTAAATGTCACAGAAACTAATAGGCATGGATTGTTTTCAAGATTGGGCAGTCTTAATAGGAGCCTGTGAAGGTAAGGGTGGTTTCAAGAGGGATAAGAAAAGGAATGGCCTTTCAGTCAAGGGAACAGCATGAGCAATCATGGTGTTAAAATATGTATGATGATGTTTTCAGAGCTAGTTTAAGTGGAGCCCAAGTTTTATGAAGACAAATGATGTGAAATATTTTAATGGTATAGTCAGAGACCGAGCTGGAAAGAATTGAGTGGCAGGCAACAGAGTTTGAACTTCATCCTCTTTAGGCATGGGGAGCCATCATCAGGGGTTTTGATCAGAGATTATGTGTACAATGCTGTTTTAGGAAGGAGAATCAAAGAAATAGAATGATTTAGAACAGAACAAAGAGGTAAAGGCAGGAAGTTAAAGGATACTTAAACATGGAGAAAATAATTCAGTATTAATGTACTATGTGTCACAGATGGAGGGAACGATACATGCCTGCACCCAGGTAGGAAGGAGAATGAGATGATCTGGAAAGGAGAAGCAGACCTGTGGCCAGCCAGGTTGGATTCCTAGAAGATGCTCCTGATAAGGAACACAGGCTTTGTCCATGGCATGACCCTGCACGGGGCCTTCAGCAGGCCAACTGACCTCCCTAGGGTCTGATCCCTCACCTGTAATTCATCCTAACAGGACCAAGAATAGTCCCTCAGAGCCAGCTATTGAAATAGGCTGTGATTTCCATGGCCCTTGTACTTTAGAACATAGCTCCATACCTTTCTGCTAATGCCACTGACCCCTTTAACAGAGGAAAAATAACTTTTATTCCTTATTTAAAGCTTAAAGGAAAATTCTTTTTGAGGCAAAATTTTATTGTGAATATCATTTCATCACTGTTAGTGGCTGTAAGTCCTTTTCAATTTTGATTAGAAGCCAGGGAGGGATTTTAAAGCACATGGAATACTGCTACTTAAAGTTGCTGAAGACACCTTCGGGTAGACGTGAGAAGATACAGAAACAATAGGAATTAAAATAAAACAAATAAATAAATGGGAAAAAAAGGAAGAAAAGAAATAACAGAAAGGTCTTCCACCTCTGCTTAAAATTGGCACTGTTAACTGTGAGGAAAGAAAAAGCTGAGGCGCACTACATACAGTCAGGCATTTTGGTCATATTTACAAAGGCACTCATCTCTGCCTCATGAAACTCTGCATATTTTAAAACACAGTTTGCTGGGCAAAGTATCCATTTGGTATCATCCTTTAATGATACCCTATTAATTCTGAACTAGAATTTCTGTGTATATGGGACTACTGATTGTATTGAGAAATTCTATATATGTGGGGCTATATATGTATATATACATAAATTCTATATATGTGGAACTACTCGTTGTATTGAAAGCTCAAGGAATCCATTTATCATCCTCTATCCACAGCTTCTAGGTTACTATTGAATGAAAATAGCCCCTTCTAAAATAGTTTCTCTAGCTGGAGAAATTTTTAGAAGAGTTTTCTAAATAGTAATTGATCAAAATAAAAATACAGTGTTTAATAGCTATATTCCTTAAATTTTTTCATACCAGGAATCTTTAAAAATATGCTAAGCAGGACTAATGAAAAGGAAGAGGCCATTGTTTTGGAAATCCAGTCTGATATATTACTTATCTTATCTGGTCTTTGTGAACATCATATTCAAAGAAAGGTATGTATGCCTGTGAATCAAAGTTTTGTTGAAAAGTTCCAATCACCTAACACTATGAACTTTGTGTAGAAAGTGCCTGTAAATGTTGTTAATTCAATATTCTTTTTTTATAATTATATATAGTAAAATGTACAGATCTTAGATATATAATTTGATAGGGTTTTTTTTTGTTTGTTTGTTTTTTGTGATTGGTAAGGGGATCACAACCCTTGGCTTGGTGTCGCCCCCACTGCACTCAGCCAGTGAGCACACCAGCCATCCCTATGTAGGATCCGAACCTGCAGTGGCGCTCCCAGTGCTGCACTCTCCCGGGTGAGCCACGGGGTTGGCCCTAATTTGATAGGTTTTGATGAGTGTATACATCCATTTAACCAGTACCTCAACTAAAACATAGAATACGCCATCTCCCTATAAAATTTCCTCATCCCCTTAGCAGCCACCTCCCATCCACCTCCAGGCAACCACTATTATGATCTCTATCCCTTTAGATTGGTTTTGCCAATCTTTATATGAATGGTATCACACAGTATTTATTCTTTTATGTCTGGTTTCTGTCATCCAGCATCATATTTCTGAAATATATCCATGTTGTTGCATGTATCAATAGTTCATTACTTTTTATTGCTGAGTAGTATTCCGTTGTGTGAATATACTGAGATTTGTTTAGCCATTCCACTATTGATAGGAACTTCAGTTGTTTCCATTGGGCCTATTTGGAATAAAGCTTCAACGAACCTTCTTGTACCAGAGTTTTCATGGACATAATGTTTCCATTTCTCTTGAGTGAATACTTAGGAGTAGAATTGATGGATCATAAAGGAGGTATATATTTATCTTTATAAGAAACTGCCAAACAGTTTTCCAAAGTGGACTGTACCATTATAAATGTTGCTTGGAGTTTGAATTGCATTCATACCTAAAACTAAAAGTTAGAACAAAAGCTTAATTTTCTTCAATCTTTTTTTAGCTGCATAGTAAACTCCAAGTCTCAGCAATTGATAATTTAAATAGCAAGAGACAGAATTGGAAAGATAAAAACAACAACAACAAAAAAAAGGATGAAGGTTTTAATAGACAGGTTTTAGGGAGAGGCAACAGGAATAATGGATACTTAGTTTTAAGCTTTGGTGCAACTTCTCCTTAAATTCTACCACCATGTGCCTGTGCTCTTCTGGAAAAATAATCATAATCTTGCTTACTGGGAGACAACTGAACAACAATGCAATGAAAAAGGTAATTGGTAAGATAAAAATATTAAGTGCTAATAACTTTATATAAATTATTAAAGGTTTTAACTACCATTTATGTACTTATTTTTCTCTTGGATTCACTAAGAAATCTTCCATGATAGTTATTAATATCTCGTAGTCATTGGAAGAAAATTATGGGGCAAGTCTTATGGCTTATTTTTTCTTTTTTAGAGAAAGAGAAAGGGAAAGAACAAAAAGTCTAAAGGTACATTAAGCTGGCGTGTTGATTGATGCCTTCTCTTCAACTGATTGGCTTTACAATAATTTGTCTTAAATTCCTGAGAATGAGTACAAATTTTTAAAAATTATATTAAAAATATCATTTTCCAAACAATATCTCTGGTAGAAAATAGTTTTAGGGGACAGGATGAAGTGGAGAAGAAAGGAACTATTTATTTCAAGAAATAATTTCAGACAAATCTCTTAAACAGGAAATTTTTGGAACTGATGGAGTAGATATAGTTCTTCATGTAATGAAAACAGACCCCAGGAAGTTACAGAGTGGCTTAGGCTATAATGTACTTCTCTTTAGTACATTGGACAGCATTTGGTGAGTATTACTGCAACCAAGTTAGGTAGAATCACAGTATAAGAAAGTGACCTGTGCAGCTATATACATCAGTTTTCTTCCCTCAGAACTACACCAGAAAGATAACTCTCTCTATGCCTTTTTCTTTTAGATAGTCCAAAAATAATACCAAATGTCCTTTGTAAAGTAATCTTATCTGTCACTCAAATACAGAATCACTCTTATACCTAAATTTAAATTCTTGTTTTTGTGATTTAAACACATTTCACATTGGCCTGGTTTAGGAAAAACACAAGCATCCACTATTACTCCCACAGTATTCTTATACTGGAAGATTGTTGAATTCCTCATTCATCTTCTCTTCAAGGAGTTGAAAACCAATTGATCAGGCATTTCCTAATCAATATTGTTTCCCAAACTTTTTAATATTCCTAAGGGCAAAACTACTGCTTTTCTTAAGCATTAACTGACCAAATTTTGTCTTGTGGAAAATTACTTGAATTCCTTATGTCATTAAACTCAACACATTTCTTTTGTTCTATTGGGGTCTAATTTATGAGAGACATATTGCAACACATTTAGTAACAAAACTCTGATGAATATTACTTTCCATAAGATCAAGTAACTAGATTTGCACACTGCAAATTCTCTGTTTAAATGAGAGCTAGACTATTCAGCTCTCATCCAAATACGTATAACAATGGAGCTACAGCCATCTAGTTTGATTTTTACCTCAGAGAAGAGAGGCATATAGTGATAATATGATAATCTGATATTTTTTTAAGTTTCAATGGCAAACTCTTATTGACCAAAAGTCTGTATTAAGCATAATTAAAAATTCAGAGGTGAGTATTGATGAGTACTGCCTGTACTATTGAGCAATATATTGGAATTCAGAAGTTGCTGCAGAAAATGTCTTAATGTCTCCTAATCCCTTCTTTATTTAATATTTCACAATCATACTAAGATAAAAATTAATAGATAATGGCTTTATTTATATGTCTTTTGTTATAACACAATTTCAAATCTTTTGGGTAAGAGGTAAGGTAGAAGTAACAAATAAGTAAATGAAGTATACTGTAAATAAGTGAAGTCTATTGTATTTTTACCAAGTCCATACCTTATAGCATTCCAATTTGCTACAGAAAATGCCTCTAGCAGATGTCAGAGTAGAGTTTCCTCTCCTGTTCCTGATTTGGTTTAAAATAGATTTTTAAAAATCCTAGGCATTCAGAATTACTATTTTATTAACAAATACATAATTATTTTTCTGTTACTACTAAAAATAATTAGTCCAGGGTCGTCACTTACATCCTTATAGTTGGCTTGTGTTTTTAAAATGCATTTTCCAAATACTTTTTTTTTAATGTGTATATAATCTTAGGTTTAATTTTTATTGAAATACAATATACATGACAAAACATAAATTATGCATGTATTATAACATATTATCAAAAGATTACACAAAATATACCCGTGCAGCCACCATCCTCATCAAGGTACAAGCCTTCCTTATCCCCCTTTCATCTTAAATCCCCCCTTTCCTCCCTAAGTTTAACCATCCTGATTTCTAATACTATGGATCAATTTCATCTGTTTTTGAATTAGAGAAATCATATAGTATATATTCTTTTGTATCTGATTTCTGTTTTCATATTTGTTGAGTATAGCACTTGTTTGAATTTTTGTTTTCATGTTTGAGTTTTCTCATTTTCAGTGCAGTGTGTTATTCCATTATATGAACATACCACAAGTTATCCACTCTATTGATGAGAATTTGCCTTATTTTAGTTTGGGACAATTATGACTAAAACTGTAATAAATATTTTTGTGCTTGTCTTTTATTCTACATGTGTACATATTTCTGTTGAGTATATACCTAGAGGTAAAAATGCCAGATCACAGGATATCTGTTCAGCTTTAGGAAATTTCAGCCAAAATTTTTTCCGAAGTAGTTATATCAATTACACCTTTCCTAGTACTGTGGGGATATCTCATTGCTCCACACCCTTACCAACACATTGCATTGTCAGTATTTTTAATTATAGTTATTCTTGTGGACTTGTACTAGTGTCTCTTTGTAGTTTTAGTTTTCATATCCCTGTTACTAATAAGTTTATTCACCACTTGGATAGCCTTTTTTGTGATGTGCCTATTCAAGTCTCTTGCTCACTTTTCTATTAGATTTTTTTATGGAGATTTTTTTATGGACCTGGTCTTTTTTTATGGAGTTCTTTGTATATCCTGGACATGAGCCCTTTTCTGTTATGTGTTTGCCAAATATATTCTGCCAGGACCAGGGAGAGCCAATGGTGTAGGTCCAGTCTGAGACTGAAGGCCTGAGGACCAAGAGGAGAGCTGAAAGTCTAAGTACCAGTCTGGAAGCTGGCAGGCTTGAGACCCAAGAGAGTCAAATTTTTGTTTGAGTCTGAAGGCTTGAGTCCCAGCTCGGCAGTCAGGCAGAGAAGTTACCCCTTACTCAGCCTTTTTGTTGCATTCAGATCTTCAGTTGACTGGGTAAGTCCCACCCATATTAGGAAAGGCAATCTGCTTTACTCAGTCTACTGATTCGCATGTTAATCTCATTCAGAAAAACCCTCAAAGACTCACCCAGAATAATGTTTGGCCAAATGTCTGGCTACCCCAGAGGTGCTACATAACCTACAACTATCTGAATGGGAGGGGCCAAGCTAATGGCCTTTTATGCACCAACCTTCTCCCCATTCTTACCTCCAACCCACAACCACCGTCATGAAACAGACAATAGAAAAAAGGATCCCTTTTTTTCAAGTGGGAGCCATGTTTAGGAAAGAGACACAGGAAGCTGACACCAGCGGTCTTGCAGTGCCTGGGAGGAACAGAGGTTAGCCTCTGTTACTATTGACCACCTCCACCACTACCACCAGCAGCAGTTTGTTCAGCCCATATTTTCTGCTGGGGAAAACAATGTAAGTAGCCCTTCAACTTCAGTCTTTTGTTGCATGTGAGCTGTACAGGCCTAAGCAGTAGGCACTTTAGCAAATGATCTCAACTGCGAACTTGAGATATAAAATCAAGAATTATCAAATGTTTGAGGTGCACCAACACTGTGAAAGAGTGACAATAAATGGATAAACGTTGAAGAAATAGTTACAAGAGCAACCAGAGGAGATCTTTAAGAAAAGTTAATATTATGAAAGCAAAGGAAAATACTGCATTTGCAGAAAAGAAATAGGCATTTATGAAAAAGGGTTAATTGACATTGATTTAAAATGGTTGAAATTAAACTATACTGATAAAGTTTCTTCAAAGTTCTACTTTTTAAAATAAAAACATTAGCTATGTGGTTTATGGAAATGAAGAAAAATATTCTTTGAAAATGCCTTGACAGAAAGCTCTACAAATTGAGTTTAACAATAAGTGTTTGTCAAATGAATAACTTCCTTTTAATTTAAGGTGCTGCATTTTGGGATGTTATCCCTCTGAGGATTACTTTCTTGAAAAGGAAGGCATTTTTCTCCTTTTGGATTTATTGGCAGTAAGTATGTCTAAAACAATTGTAAGACAAAAGATAACTAAGTCTTTATTAACCTTTTCTAAACTTAGTACCAGACAACACTATTCTGTGAATAAATGTGCCCCCAAATCATGTTCAAATGTCTTTTTAAAACAAAATCTCTCCTGGAGATTCATAATATGCTAGCATATTAAAGGCTCTGAAAATTCCTCCAGTTAAAACATCACCTTACTTAGGTTAGTGTTTCCAAATACACATAAGGAGAGAATTTGTTTTTTCTTTGTACTCCATCAACCTGAAGTTTGCAAAGAGCTAGATGATAGCAAAACCCATAGTCATTTGTTAAAAACTTCTAGCTTCTTCCCCTAATGTTAAAAACTAAGGGCCACATTAGACAAGGAGCAAAAATAAGCATTTTTAAAGACCAGTGTATAGTTTGGAGGAAAAGTTAAAAAGTTTATTGTATCATGAGCCACCATTTTGCAGAATGAGCAGGAGAGACTATACTAACACCTTTCAGCAAAGACAGTCACCATCTAGTAGCTGTGAAGGATGTAACTCCCCTGCTAGCTTCAATTCTAAGTGTGATCCACAGTCTAGATGGTATGGGAGAAAAAGTATAATTCTGTTTCAATAAAACTTTAAGAGGTATTCTCACACAGAGTTCTGGCCGTGTCATTCTCTATGATTGCCACCATTCTTGATTTTTAAACAGAATAACAAGTCTACTTTGATTTAGAAAAGGTGCTTAAATCTTTTGTGTTCCTTCACCTCTCTGAAAGAAAATTAGTCAATATCTCCATTTTCAATTTCTTTGGCTATACAACAGGGAAAACAACAGTATATACCTCATTGCACTATTGGAGGGATTAAATGAGTGACACATTATTGCTATGTATTTGCTATTATGAATATATTTAATGTGGGTTGAACCAATCAAGTTAATTAGAAATATTCTTTAACAAAGTTTTTATGTCAACTTTAACCTTTGATATTTGCCTCTTTCTCCTGAAAGTGAAGTACAGGAATTTAAAAACTTACTTCATTAAGAGTTCTACTTAATACAATTCTGCTAAAGATTCAGTATGGAATAATAATAATTTCTAATAATGGTTAAATATTATTGAGAGCTTACTATGTGCCAAGTAGTCTCATATGTATAACTCATAATAACCCTTTGCTGGTAATACTCATCTTTCATCTTATAAAAGGAAACTGATAATGTTTGCAATTCAAACAAGTTTACATCTTTCGTAATGTTCTAATAGCAATATTCTGTAAGAGTTAATCAACAAAAAATATTTCTCATAGAAAAATTACTGTATGAAGGCTGTTGCTCTGGGTGGAATTTTCTATACCTAAATTTTGGTTTGCTAAAAACTAGTTGTAGCAAAATTAAGGAAACATGTTAGATTATAAGAGAATTTCTCTTGAATGCTTAAATACTCTATGAATGCTGATTGTCAAAAAATAAAATTACATCTCATTTTGTTTTATTTTATGTGACTGTCACTTTCAGTTATCATCAGTTATTCTCTTAATAACAAAGTAGTGATTATAGCTATTATGAATCTTTACAAACATTAATAAAATATGTAAATTGGAAAGATCCTGTAATTACCGTGAACTGTGAATAGCACTGTTGACCTTGCTCCACTTAAAATAAATGTCTTCACTTATTTTTACAAATCTCCCTTTTCTGACTCAACCAAATCAATTACATTTTTGGTCATGAGATATGTTCATGACAACTTCAGAATTATACTAAATCTTTTCCTTTTAATTCTTTTTAATTTCTAATGTTTGAAAACGTACTCATTACAATAGGTATCTATTTTAACAGGAGATTGTCCTCGATTACTCTTAGACTTTGAGTTTTAAAAAAACTTACTGATAATAGTGTTTGTCTTTTTTTTTTAAGGTAATAATTCATAATATTTATTGCAACATTTTTCCTTTTCTGTTTCCTTGCTAAAGTTGAACCAAAAAAAATTCTGTAATCTAATACTTGGAATAATGGTTGAATTTTGTGATAATCCCAAAACTGCAGCTCATGTAAATGCTTGGCGAGGGAAGAAGGATCAGACAGCTGCTAGTCTTTTAATTAAATTGTGGAGAAAGGAAGAAAGAGAGCTAGGAGTAAAACGTGATAAAAATGGGAAAATCATTGGTAAGTGTATTTAAAAGGGGATTTTTGAAAGGTACTAGCAAAGTATGAACATTTTTACCCATTTGTCTAAAGTTCTTTTCACAATGGTTTGAAAAACATCGTACATTCTGAATGATTGGAAGAAAACTAAGTAAAGCATATTATTATAGAATATTTTCAAGAAATGATATTTGATTATACTGTTTAACTTAAAAAATTAACAGTACTTTCTGAAGAAGTTTCTTTGGGTCGCCTGCTTTCACAAATAGATTCAGTAATATTTCATTTACCAGTAAAATTTGGGGATGTAAATAGAATGCTTGAAAATAATTTTTATAGTATTTTGTGCGTTTGTTTGTTAATGTTTATGCAATTTACTTTTTACATGAAGATATTGCTTTCTAAATAAAAGTAAACCTCTGTTCATAAATTTTAATTACTAGATTCTAAATTAATGAGATTTACAGATTCAGAATTTATAGTTAATTTACATATTCTGTGATGTTACATTACAGTTTCTAAAACTTTAAAGATTCTTATAGTTTCATCTGAACTGTTAGTATTGTTTATGCTTAAATGCAAATATTTCCCCTTCTGATGATTTCTAGCTTTAATCTATTTTTATTATTTCTGAGTTTTGATCTATAACATCATAAAATATTTCATATTTATAGCATAATATAAAGAAATCAAAAGCAAACGAGGTTACATCGTTAAACTGACATTATTCAATTTCTGGACCTTAAAACTTTTAAAGTTATTTACATAAAAGTTTCACTTTTAAAAAGTAATTTTGTGAAATTTTTGTATTTTACAGAAATAACAAAAAAGAAAGCTTTCAGTTTTGCCACAAAGTGAGGAAGAAATTACTGATTATTTACGCTTTCAAAAGAATAACCATGTACAAGGCACTATTTTACTGTTATAATAACCTTATATATTTTGTTCTATAGACTAAAGTCTCAAAACTAAGAATTTATTTACTACAGTTTTTATCTGTTTCTTCTATGTTCTCATGATATACAATGATTAGATACAAAGAAACCTCTATTTACTAGTTTTCAAGAAGAGCAAAAAATCATGCCACTGCCTGCTAACTGCCCAACTATTGCAGTTATGGATGTTGCCGAGAATATCAGAGCAAAAATTTATGCTGTATTGGGCAAACTAGGTAAGAAGCTGCTTCTCAAATTCATAAGAGCCTCTCTGTTTTGCTAAGCTTGCACATTGATTTTGCTTTGGAATTCAATTTTCAAACATGTTGAACAAAAAGTTCATCATGGAGTTCAATAAAAAGTTATGATGAACAGATAAATCCTTATTCCATTGTTACCCTAATGTCCAGGCTGTACCCCTGACCAATTAAATCAGAACCTCTGAGTGTGGGGCCCAGGCATCAGTATTTTTTAAGTCTCTCCAAACAATTCCAGTGTGCATCCAGGATTAAGGGCTGTTAGTTTACGTTTTTAGGTATAAACACTAGCATTCTAAATCAACTGAGTTTTTTTTTAAGTTCTTGTGTCCTATTAAGGAAAAAGTCCTCAAACACTTCAGTTTCTGTAGGTAAGATATCATTGTCTGACCACAACACAGAAAGAAAGATTCCTCTTCTAATGACTTAATAAGGATGACCCGGCAGAGGTTTGCTATAGGAAGCCAGACACTCACGGAAATAACTTTCATAAATCAAGATGAAATCAAAAGTTACTATTTGCATTTGTTTTTATGATAGATATGAGTATATGCCTCTTGGAATCACTTGCTTTGTTAAAGTAATTCTCTCTTTATAAAATTTGTTTAGATTTTGAAAATTTACCAGGACTATCTGCTGAAGATTTTGTCACCCTCTGCATCATACATAGATATCTTGATTTTAAAGTAAGTACCTTTTCAATAATCTTGTTATTAAAATCTAGTATGGCAGAAAATCACTCGAGAAATAAAAGATCTATTCATAGTTGTGAGCAATCATCCACATATTGCGTAGTTCTTGTTTTCCATTTTGTATCTGATTCTGTTAAAGAAGCATATCACTAATTGATTGAGTATTTTTCATGGCATAAGATTTTATCCAAATATTAGTTTATAAAAGAAGATAGATGTAACTGACACAGAGCTATTCAGAAGCCTAAAAGAATTTTTTAAATGTAATTTTTTCCCTTTGGAGAGCATTAGGAGCTAAATTTAAATAAATTAAACAATTAAAATGAATGACTAATGCTTATTAAAGTATTATTTTTATCATTAATTATGTTATGATCAAACTCAATTAAAAGATATTAGGTTGCTTACCTTGCTAGTTATATTTTTGTCCATAAATAAATTCTTTTGAAGTTTCAGAAAAGTCTATTTAAGTAGACACTCTCCTTCTACTAATATCAGTACTATGTATTTGAACGTAGTAAATGAATAAACCTCTATTCTCAAATGAAAACAAAGCTGAATTTTATCCCTATCCTAGATATATAAATTTTCCTTAATTTAAAAATACTCAAGCACATTAATTTCTAGACAACCCAGGATATGACATGGAGCTATTAGCATGATGAAACCATGCAGTTAGAAATTTGAGATTCAATTATAATTTGCCTTAACTAGAACAAGTTCATCTTTACCTAATCTTCAATATAGGGCTTTAAGGAGGAAAGCAGCAATACTTCAGAAAGGTGAGATTTAAACAGCAGTTTCTTCAGCTGTGAAAACAATAGTAACAATAAACCTGAGGGCAGTGGTGAAGGCAGTGCACCAGGCATACATAGTGGAGCCTCACCAACATACACCTTATCATTGAAGAATCATTTCCAGTGCTCTTAACTTATTCCCAAGAAGTAAGTTTGGAAAAGCTTAAATGTTAACAGAAGTGATCACCCACACAAAGCATTATCTGAAATGGTATCATTTATTTTTGGATAGTTTAATTTTGTTAAACTTTCTTATAACAGATTGGAGAAATATGGAATGAAATATGTGAGGAAATAAAATTGGAAAAGTTAAGACCAGTCACTACAGATAAAAAATTTTTGGAATCTATTACAACAGCATCAGAAAATATTGGAAAGATGGTTGTTTCTCTTCAAAGTGAGATGATTGAAAGCCAAGCACGCCAAGATGTGCAAAATGAACAAAAAGTATATGCAAAAGTAAGCCACAGATACTATCGAGGCACAAGATATTAATTTCAATGTATAAAATAGTTGAAGTTATCCATAGGATATATTTGTCTTACTTGTGAATGTTTCACTCTTGAGTTATTTTGTGGGTTTGTTTTTTTTTTTCTTATAGTTATTTTCAGTGTCTTCATGCATTTTTAAAAGAAATCCATGGAGTTAGGACCTTGAGATTAAATTACAATATTCATTGTTGTTTTATGGCATTGTAATTTGATTTTTACAGTCTTAGATTTTTAAAAGGTAAAGCGATACCTGAGACACTTCGATTTTTTGAAATGCCAAACAGGGTTGCAAAAATTGTGGTCTATCTAAATGTATACATTTAACAAATTCTATCTGACAAATGGTATATTTCTGTAACTACATGCCTAACTTCATTGAGAGATAAAATTGGCCCCTATTTTTCATTCCGTGATAGGCCCATACTGGTATGCCAACCACAGGCATATTGATCAATCAGCTTCATTTTCACCTCAGTGCCAAAACACTTACTATAAGCATTCTGTAAATCCAGAGATAAACTGGTCTCTGACCTTAGCTAATCAAAGAGCCTATCAGGAAAATATCAGCCATTTTCCTAAAACTTTATACAGGTGCGAAACAAAATGCATCATTTATTTTTGAGCAAATAGGTTAACTAGGTATTTAATTAACTTGTCCACAGGTACAAGGATGATGTGGATTCTCCACTTCAGTTTTGTGATCCTTTATGACTACAATTAAATATTTAAAACTCTTTAAGGTGATTTCCAAAGTATTTTCTATTGCCTATTCATTTCACATAGACTATTAAATGTTTACATCTTCTGTGTGCATCTACTTATGAATTCTATTCCATTCCTTGAAAGTTTTGCTTGCTAAGAGTATTTATTGCATGGGTGCTGCCATTTAATCCATTTGTTTGAAGTAGGGCAGCACAATTAGAACTTCTGCTGACTCTTTTATCTTTAGTTCCGTCAAATGTCTGCTGTGTTGACTATTGTTGATTTGCTGATTATTGTTGGTTTGTAATAGTTCTGACCCACTTGTTTTTTAGCAATTGTTTAATTAAATATTCTTAGATTCATAATTCAAGCTTAATATGGTATGTTAATGCCAACCATGTATCCTCTGATTGTATATTTAGTGAATAGCCTGTTGAGAACAATAGACTTTGCAGTTTGTTAATAGTTACCTCCCCACTGTGCATCACCACAAACTCAGCACACTCACAAAATTGCTTGTCTTGCTGCAGTCATACGTTAGGAGTACTTTTACCAATACAATTTTGTATAAACTATTATCAGTGGCCAGCAGGAATCTCTTTTCATTTTCTCTTGTGAATTTGCTGTTAAATTATTTAAGTAGCTTGTTCTGGATTATAATCTGTCTTCACAAGTGGGAATTATGTAAAACAATTAGTCTTGCTGAGAATGATTATTGTCATAAAAATAGCAGTTTTGCATTACATTTCATGGAAAGCAGTTCAAACCTTAGCTACATAATGATCAAAAGGTTGACTACTGTAATCCTTTTGCTGGTCAGCATTAAAATTTACCTTAGCAAAAGGTAGGTGCTTCCTAATTGGTAAAGGGCCACAAAAAAATGATTACATTGTATAATGTTGAATATACTAATTATCCTGATTTCAGCATCGCATATTGCACATAGGTATTGATATTCAACACTGTACCCCACAGGTACGTACAATTGATTATGTTTCAATAAATTTTTTTTAAAAAGAATAAAATTTTTCAAGCCCTTTGGCATTCTTTCATGGAAACTGAAACTCTTAATTCTTTCTCATTTCAGATTCAAGCCACACATAAGCAAAGAGAACTGGGTAATAAATCATGGGAAAATTTCTTGGCTAGAACATCAAATGCTAAAATGTTAAAGGTAGGATTTTTTAAATATTACAGTATCTACAACAAATAACCAATTCTTACAGACAGACTTTTTAAGGAATGAATATTCATTTTATTCACTTTTTTTCTCATGACCTTTCTGTAGAATACTAACATTATTAGATCCTCATATGCAATTTAGCACGATAATTGTAACTGCATTTTCACAGTTACAAGAATATGTCACTTTGAGTTTCATTTGGTTTAGCAGAGGAAAGCAAGGGTGGTGTTCTTGGCCTACGTAAAGTAGGAGATGATGGTTAGCCAGGAAGGGGCAGGGGAAACATGCCCTGCTTTCCATTCTGAACTTTCTTATTCATTGATTTCTTTTCTGTAAGAAGCAGAGTGAGGAAAAAAAAAAAAGCAACTATCCCGTATTACCTTCTCTCCCAAACGTTCTTCCTCTTTGTGATCACCAACAGAAATATATTAAAGCTTAAATGGGAATTTGGGATAAATAACCCTTTGGAAAAAATGTGATAAGTTGCTTCAGCTATGCACTAGAAACTAATCTAAAAAGTGTATAATGCTAATTGTTGACTTAAAATATGTGAGAAGCACAATAAATTTCCAAAATTTCATTACTTTTCCCCATCTTTTCCATTAACACCCTAGATGTACTTTTACCTGTTACAATTCTTCCTCTATATATGAAATTGTTAAATGTTGAGTTAGTCCATGAAAATAGTTGAACCATATTAAGGTAGAAAAACCAAAGTTAAGAACAAGCTCACTAAAGGTACCAAGTATCCCCCTATTCACTAAAAGTTCTTCCCTACTCTACTTAACAAAATATCCACATAATTGCCTGTATTTTTAAAGAATAGTTAATGAAAATCAGCTTCTTCCCTACAGATCATTTGTTACCTCACATTTTACCTGCTTAGTGCCTCAGATATTGAGCTTGAATATAACTGCAGCAAATTATATAATTTATATTATCCTGAATGTTTACATTTAAGTATATAGAATTAGTATTTAATTTATGTAACATATTTTGTAATATGCATCACTTGATATAAATTTAGTAGCTTATTATGTGCTAAAAATTGAACCTGATTTCCTCAGGACCTACTTTACTCCTTGGTCATATATGACCAGTACCTCTGGAAATCTCCAGAATACTTTTAGGTGATTGGTGTCTTCAGTGCACAAAGGATCTAACTTTCCAAGAACTTTCTTCTCAGTCTAAATGAGTAAATGCAGATTCCAGAGCTAACTAATATCCAAAGCATAAGCCAGACACAATTAAATCTATTTTGTATCTTTATTATGAGTGCCATAGTTAATGCTTAAATAATAATTAATATTATTTTCTTTCCAATTTAAAAATCTTCAGAAAGCAAAAAGGCTTCAAGAAAAAGCTATAGAATCCTCTAGATATAAAGAGCAACCACAAAATGCAATATTTCATCAAACAGATATAAAAGGCCTTCACACAACGGTAAGATTATTTTTCTCCATAATTTTTTCTTAATAGATATTAAATTTAGGTGTCCCAAAATGTCATTTCTCTTTTTTTTTTTTTTTTCCTTTTTGCCTTTTTTCGTAACCGGTAACGGGATCACAACCCTCAGTGTCGCACCCGCACCACGCTCAACCAGTGAGTGGACCGGTCTCTATATGGGATCCAAACCCTCCACGGGAGCGCCACACTCTACCGAGTGCGCCACCGGGCTGGCCCCCCAAAATGTCATTTCTGTGGGGTTTTTGTATCATATTTTTTCTTTGTGCTATCCAAATTTCACTTTGTTAAGGAATATTTATCTCCAAGGTACATCCACCCTTGCTCAGTGCTGGTTTAGAGCAGACCCAGCCCTCCAGGATTCCCCCAAAACTGCTACAAACATTATTCAGTATATATCTTTACATGTCTTTGGCAGAAAATATACAGTGCCTCCTTTGGCTGGCAAGGACATCCATGCCATCTGCCAGTGTTTCCAGGTATCTTCTGCTGGACATAATTTTCCCCTGGCTATAAGGCTGATAAGCAATAGAAATATAATTCAGACCCACTTTCCCTGGCTCCAAAGCCCTTATCTTTCTTTTTTTTTTTTTTTTTGTCCTTTTTTTTTGAGACCGGCCGCACCGCGCTCAGCCAGTGAGCGCACCAGCCATCCCTATATAGGATCCGAACCCACGGCAGGAGCGCTGCTGCGCTCCCAGCGCCACACTCTCCCGAGTGCACCACGGGGTCGGCCCAAAAGCCCTTATCTTTCCATTATGCCATGCTGCCTCCTAGTTTCTCATATGTACATTTTGTATCTTTTCCAGAGTAAGCTGAAATATAAATGGGTTTTTCTCTTATTGAAAAATGTTGTAATTGGATTCATATATTTACCTTTTGCTTTTTTAGGTGCCCTCTGGTCGGGTAGTAACAGTGGAAAGCACTCCTGCTCGATTAGTGGGAGGACCTCTGGCTGATACAGATATTGCTCTTAAAAAACTGCCTATTCGAGGAGGAGCCTTGCAGAGGGTAAAAACAGTTAAAACTGTGGATGAGCCAAAAAAGAGTGTTCCTACATAATATACTCTAGAGATATTTTGAAGTAAATTCTGCTTATAATTTTTTAGCTAAATATCTTTATATACAAATATAAAGCAAATAGAATAAATATTTTAGTAAAATAATTATAAAAATAAAAATAAGGACATATAATTTATTTTTATTGGAAACAACATATAATATCAGAAGAGTTGTCATCAATTTCTTTGGAAAGACTACTAATTCTCTTAACTGAAATTGGAAAACATAGTATATCGTTAGGACTCTTTTGGTCACATGTGAACTATTCCAACTAGATTAAGTCAAAAAAACTTTTTTACAAGCTCTGTATCTATCAAATCTAGAAGTAATTTAGACTACAGACATTGTGTGATCTAGGAACTGAAACTATATAGGAGGATCTTCTTTCCTAGTAGCTCCTGGCTTACATTCTCTGAGGTTCATATCCAGCAGAGAAGAGTCTCAACAGTTTTTACAACGGCCTCTGCATCTTGAGACCCCTGATTGGCCACATGCCCATTCCTGAGCCATTCACCATAACTTTGGCCAGATCTGAGTACTGCCTATTCCTGGAGCCAGAAGCAGGCCAACCCTATCCAAAGCATATGGATGGAGTGGGGAATCAGGGTACTGTACTATATCAGAAGTATGTGTGAATACTGGGCAGCAAAATAAACATTAACTGTGCAATAGATATGTTGGTCAAAGTAAAATAAGTTATCTCTGCTATAAAAAGCAACTGTTAGTCATGAGCTAAACAGTAAAAATAAAAAATAAAAATACAGATGATTTTACTCTTGATATTTAAATATGCAAAGCAAACTCTAAAAATACTTCTCTTCTTTAATGGGAAGGGAAAGGGAGAGTGGGGGAAGTGATTTCTCTCCTTTGGTTGTGGAGGTGTCTTGCCAAAGAATAGGAGGTAGATGCCTTAATGCTGGATGTAGAGCAAAGTGTCTGTGTCCCTGGTTGCCATTATGAGATTTCTATCTCCTGTCTTTATTCCTATCAAACCCCTCCTCCAGCCAGGAAGCCACAAAATTGAGTTCTCATCCCGGGCTAGAAGAGACAAGGACCTATTTTCTTAGGAAAATAAACTGGAATTAGAGTCTTGATTCTAGGTCCATAGGATTCCCTCAGCAGTGTACTAGTAAATGTACAACAACCAGCTCTCCACGGGGGAAAAGCCCTGATTTGTAGCATTTGCCAATTTGTGTGGTGTAAATACTCTCACAATGACCAATTTCAAGCTAACAGCAGGATGTCATTTAATGCAGAGTTGGGAAAAGATGCATACATCCCATTTTCATTATTAGGTAAGAGCAGGCTCCATCACCCCACTAGTCTCACTTTCTCCCAGCTCCTCTGTCCTCCTCCTCTTTCTCCCCTAACTCACATTTCTCTAGGAATTTTTCATTATCCTGTCTGTGAGGATAGTAGCATCTTCAATGAGGGGAGAAGCTGCAGCTGTTGTTATTGTTCTTTTTTTTTAATTGAAATGTAATTAATTATACATATTTGTGGGGTACAGAGTTGAATATCAATACCTGTATACAACGCGTGATGATCAAATCAGGATAATTAGCATATTCTGCATTACAAAACGTAATCATTTATCTGTGATGAGGATATTCGATTTCATCTCTTCTAGCCATTTGATAACATGTAAGTTAATGTTAATTATAGCTCGACTGTGCATCAATAGAACTTATTTATCCTAACTAGTTGTTCGTGTCCATTAAGAATGTCTCAGTATCCCCCCTCCCCTGCCCCCTTTCTCACTCCTAGTAATCACAGTTCTGTTCTCCCCTTCTGAAAGTTCAACCTATTATTGTGATTGCTCTTCCTTCCTTCTTTCTTTTTTTCTTATTTATTTATATTTTAGTTCCCACTTATGAGTGAGGACATGCAGCTTATTCTTTCTGTGCCTGGCTTATTTCACTTAACATAATTTTCTCCAAGCTCATCCATGCTCCTGCAAATGGCAGAATTTAATTCTTTTTTATGGCTGAGTAATATTTCATTGTTTATATATACCACATTTTCCCATCCAGTCATCATCAATGGACATTTAGGTTGGTTCCACATCTTGGCTATTGTAAAAAGAGCTGTGACAAACATGGGAGTGCAGGTATGCCTTCAACATGATGATTTCCATTCCTTTGCGTATATACCCAGTAGTGGGATTGCTGGATCATACGTAGTTCTATCTGCAGTTGTTTGAGAAACCTTCATACTGTTTTCCATAATAGCTGTACTAATTTACAGTCCCACCAACAGTCTATAACGGTTTCTTTCCCTTTCTCCACATCCTCACCAGCATTTGTTATTTTCTTTTTTTATAATAACCACTCTAACTAGAGTGAGATGAGATCTCAATATGGCTTTGATTTGCATCTCTCTGATGATTAGAGATGTTGAGCATTTTTTCATGTACTAGTTGGACATTTATATGTCCTCTTTTGAGAAATATCTGTTTAGCTCCTTTGTCCATTTTTAAATTGGATTGTTTATTTTTTTACTATCGAGTTGTTTGACTTCCTTATATACTCTGGATATTAATCCCTTGTCAGATGCATAGTTTGCAAATATTTTTACCCATTCTATAGGTTGTCTTTTCACTCCATGCATTGTTTTGTTTCCTTTGCTGTGCAGAAGGTTTTTAATTTACTATAATCCCATTTGTTTATTTTTTCTTTTGTTGCCCAAGTTTTGAGGTGTTACTCATAAAGTTTTTGTCCACTTCTACATCCTGATGTGTTTCTCCTGTGTTTTCCTGTGAGAGTTTTATAGTTTCAGGTATTACATTTAAGTTTTCAATCCATTTTGAGTTGATTTTGGTATATGTTGAGTGATAAAGGTCTACTTTCATTGTTCTACATGGGGATATCCAGTTTCACCCATTTATTGAAGAGGCAATCCTTTCTCCAATGTATGTTCTTGGTGCCTTTTTCAAAGATGAGTTGGCTATAAGAACATGGATTGATTTCTGGGTTCTCTATTCTGTTCTGTTGGTCCCTGTGTCTGTTTTTATGCAGTACCACGCTGTTTTACTATAGCTTTGTAGAATAATTTGAAGTCAAGTAGTGTAATGCCTCTGGCTTTTTTGTTTTGTTTTGTTAGGGGTTGCTTTGGCTATTTGGGGTCTTTTGTTGTTCCATATGAATGTTAGGATTGTTTTTGCTATTTTTGTGAAGAGTGTCATTGATATTTTGATGGGGATTGCATTGAAATCTGTAGATCACTTTGGGTAGTATGGACATTTTCACAACATTAATTCTTCCAATCCATGAATGTGGAATGTCTTTCCATCTTTTGGTGTTCTCTTTAATTTCTTTAATCAGTGTTTTGTGCTTATTATAGAGATCTTTCATCTCCTTGGTTAAATTTATTACTAGGTATTTCATTTTTTTGGTAGCTATTATAAATGTGATTACTTTATCTTTTTCTTCTAGTTTGTTGTTTGTATATAAAAACGCTACTGATTTTTGTATATTGATTTTATATCCTGCGACTTTACTGAACTTTTTTATCAGCTCTAAGAGCTTTTGGGTGGGGCCTTTCAGTTTTTCTATATATACGATCACGTCATCTGCAAACAGACAATTTGACTTGGTCTTTTTTAACTTGGATGTCATTTATTTCTTTCTCTTGCTTGATTGCTCTGGCTAGTACTTCCAATACTAGGTTAAATAGGGGTGGTGAGAGTGAGCGTTTTTGTCTTGTTCCTGTTCTTAAAGAGAAAGCTTTCAGCTTTACCCCTTTCAGCATAATGTTGGAGGTGAGTTTGTCATATGGCTTTACTGTGTTGAGGGACTTTCCTTCTGTACCTAATTTGTTGAGAGTTTTTACCAGGAAGGGATGTTGAATTTTCAAATACTTTTTCTACATTTATTGAGGTGAGCATATGGTTTTTTCCTTGATTTTGTTGGTGTGGTGTATCACATTTATTGATTTGGATATGTTGAACCATCCTTATATCCCTGGAATGAATTCCACTTGATCATGGTGTATAATCTTTTTGATGTGCTGTTGAATTCTGTTTGCTAATATTTTGTTGAGAATTTTTACATCTATATTCATCAAGGATATTGGCCCGTAGTTTTCTTTCTTTGTTGTATCTTTGTCTGATTTTGGTATCAGGGTGATGCTGGCCTCACAGAATGAGTTTGGGAGAATGGCCTGTGTTTCGATTTTTTGGAATAGTTTGAAAAAGATTACTATTAATTCTTCTTTTAAAGTTTGGTAGAATTAAACAGTGAAGTCATCCAGTCCTGGGTTTTCTTTGTTGGGAGATTGCTGATTACTGATTCAATCTTGTTGCTCATTGTAGTGGATTGAATTATGTCTCCCCAAAATTCACTGAAGCTTGAATTGTGTTCCCCAAGTTTTATGTATTAGAAACTTGGCCCCACTGTGACTGTTAAGAGGGTTGGATTCCTATTATGGTAATTGAAAGGTGGAGCTTTGAAGAAGTGATTAAATTGTAGGACCACGCAGTAGTGAATAAATTAATAATGGCAGTCAGGGGCATGGTTTGGAGAGCTTTAAAAGAAGAGAGAGGAGAGTCTGTCTGTCTCTCTCTTGCTCTCTCTATTTCCACCATTCTTGCAGTGTGAGATCCCTGGGTCACTTTTGTCACCGCCAGATGGACTTTGGACTTCCCAGCCTCAGAAACTGTAAGCAATAAATTTTGTTTTTCTTTATAAATCACCCAGTTTCAGGTATTTTGTTATAAGCAGCAAAATTGGACTAATACACTCATTATTGGTCTGTTCAAGTTTTCTGTTTCTTTTTGGTTCAGTCTTGGTAGTTTTTATGTGTCCAGAAATTTATCCATTTTCTCCAGATTTCAAATTTGTTGGCATGTAATTGTTCATAATAGTCTGTGATGATTCTTCACATTTCTGTGATACCAGTTGTAATGTCTCCTTTTTCATTTCTGGTTTTTTGTTATTTGCGTCTTCTCCTTTTTTTAGTTAGTCTAGCTAATGGTTTGTCTATTTTGTTTATCTTCTCAGAAAACCAACTTTTTGTTTCATTGATCTTTTGTATCATTTTGGGGGGTCTATTTCATTTAGTTTTGCTTTGATCTTAATTTTTTCTTTCTATCTACATTGTGGGATTGAATAGTTCTTGCTTCTCTAGTTCTTCGAGATGTACTGTTAGGTTGTTTAATTGAAATCTTTCTATTCTTTTGACATAAGCGCTTATTACAATAAACTTCCCTCTCAGTACTGCTTTTGCAGTATTCCACAGGTTTTGGTATGATGTGTCTTTATTTTCATTAGTTTCAAGAAATTTTTTGATTTCCTGTTTAATTTATTCTTGGACCCATAGGTCATTTGGGGGCATGTTGTTTATTTCCATGTATTTGTATAGCTTCTAGAGTTTCACTTTTTATTAATTTCTAGTTTTCATCCATTGTGGTATGAAAAGATACTTGAAATTATTTCAGTTTTTAAAAAATATGTTGTGACTTGATTTTCCATAGTTGTTGGATAAGATGTTCTATAGATGCCTGTCAAGTCCAATTGGTCTAAAGTGCGGTTTAAATCCTGTGTTTCTCTGATGATTTGTTACCTGTCCTATGTTGAGAGAGGAGTGTTGGGGCCTCCAATTATTATTGTATTGTGCTCTATCTCTCTCTTTAGGTCTCACAATATTTGCTTTATGTATCTGTGTGCTCTGATGTTTGGTGTATATATATTTATGATTGTTATATCCTCTTGCTGGATAGATCTCTTTATCATTATATAATGACCTTCTTTGTCTCTTTTTATAGTTTATGGGT